TTCTAGTTTTTAATCTATTAGATCATTTTCTTAATGATCAATATTTTAGAGTCTGTCATCTTTTTCTTTATCAAATCTGATAGGTTTTGATTACTTTTTTTTTGATTTGACGAAACCCATTAGTTTGAGCTTTATTACATTGTTAGAACAAATCTTAGTAATTATTTCATTTTCTTCTGTCTCCGGACTTAAGAGTTTAGGAATATCTCTCAAATAAGTAATAACTTTGGGGTGTTACTCTGAATGGTGATATTTAGGAATCGACCCAATCTTCATCTATCAGAATTTTCGCCACGCCATCAAAAAATATTTTCTCTTAAGAATAATGGAGGAAAATAATAATAATAAAAAGAAGAAGAAGAGAGAAAGAAGTTTTGTCAGTTTAGCACCACAATTCATTCAAACAATTTTCAAGTATATAGTAGAAGAAAATCGTCAAACACCTAAATAGGTAAGAAAAGCCAAAATCACTACAAAATAGCTTTATTCTTGTGTTGCTTGCTCTCATTTTTGTTTGTTGGCGTTTTATTCCCCCTATCTTTTTTTTCTTATAAATTTATGTATTTTCTCGATTTTAGTACTTGCCCATACATATAATATATTCTTTTCTAAGGTTTTTAGTATACAAGAGCGTCTTTATATTTTAATACAAAATATTTATTCTCTTAAATTTTTTATATTAAATTCTGATTTTTATTGTCATAAAAAGCTTTAAATCAAATACAAAATCACCTAATAAGAAAACTTTAAGAAGTTTTCCTAGTTTTTCTCTCGTACTTTTTGATTTTTAGAAGTCTCCCATCGTTAGCTTCGTGTTGTTTTCACGAATGCTCATTCTCTTATTGGCATTATAATTATTCTATGTACTTTTAAGAAATTCTGTCCACAAAAAAGATTTTAAAATTTAATTGTTAGACTTTTTATCAAAATTATGGGTGTTTAACGAATTGACAATGAGACAAAATGAAAATTTAGAGAAAACTTGGTTCAGTTTTGAATTTTCAAAGAATTCTCACAAATAACCCCTTTTTTCCTTCAAAATTTATGCGAGAAACCAAAATATTTTGTTGACCTACTTTTGCACTTTAGACTAGACTTAAATATATATTTCTACAAAAAATCTTGATTTTGTTAGTTTGCTCTCTTTAGTATTTAAACCCTAAATATATTCTCATTCCTTTCGTTGCTAAAGTGAATTTACTTTTTGATAAAGAAATTGTATGTTTAATTGAGATTTTAGGTAAAATAATAATAGGAATTGCTTGTATACTTTCTTAAATTTATTTAAATATATGTAGTTGTAAGGGAATGGCCGATAGGCAACAGTAAAACGGAAGTTGCCTTTATACCACTTGCACTTGATTTAACATCATTTAATTCTCTTTCGTTTAATTTTCAGATTTTTTAAAAATAAAATATGGTTTCAATAATGCGACCCGAACAAACTTTACGGCTTATTCAACTTTATCATTCACATTATCCAGAAATTGCTCGTAATAACCAAGATGCTGATGGACGGAATCAGAAATTACAAATGTGAGGAAAAATTTTTTGAGGACATTTATACATATTTAATATTTTTCTAGGTGGGCAAAAATAACAGAAGAATTAAATATTCAATTTGATACTTTATTTACTGTTGAACAATATAAAAAGAAAGTGCAGAATGTTCAGTGTACTTCAAGGCAAAAATTATTTAGTGGAAAAAGGTCGAATCTTTTATCTTGCAATTAAGTTAGGCTAGCATCCCGTCCCCGAAACCCCGACCCGAATTTCGAAGGCTCTACTCCAGCAACCCCCGATCCCCGACGATCTCGCCCCCGAAGGCTCGGGTTGCTACCCTAAATTAAACACTGAGTTTTACTAAAAACGTTAACAAAAATTACATATAAATATGCATCCATCACCATAACTAATTATTTTTTAATTTTAAGTGGATAGTTTAACATTTAACAATAAATTTGAGCACTCGAATATATCTAGATTAGCCATACTTCTACTTAAGTTTTTCAGTCATTCAAACAATTTTCTCTTTTTCAGAAATTTGGGAGAAGCAGAAGTTGAATATTTACGTTTATTTGAATCTGACAAAATAAACGAAGAAACCCTCTATCTAAGAGCAAAAGGCCGTCTTGGGCCATTAAATAATGATAATATTAAATGTTTGTCTCTTCCACCTGGGGAGTTTGATTCAATAATTCAGACACCAAGTCGAGAATTGAGTGAAGGATTGGATTCGATTGATGGGGGGTCTTTTGATGGAATTAATAATGAATTGAAGATTAGGTAAAAATTAAATTGAGAGGTTTTTTTAATTGTAATTAAAGATTGTATGAATCAAGAAAGTTGTTAAAAGGATGGAATGAGGAAATGACAACATTAAATAAACAACAAGAAAAGGAAACAACAATTATGGTAAGGGATGAAATTAATAAAAATATAAATTCTGAAAATAATAATTTAATAAAAACAACAAATAATAATAATCAACAAATAGACTCTGCTCAGCAGTTTCTTCTTGCTTTGGTTAGAAAAAAATATTTTGAGAAATAAAAAAGATTTCGGAAGTTTTTCTAAAAATAAGATTTGAGTTAGAACTTTGATGGGAATATCCCTCTGTTTTTAGATCAAAAAGAAATTAATTTCTTTTATGCTTACGAAAATAGTCAAGTAATGCAAAAAATTTAAATTGAAAATTAAGTATGTATGAAAAAAGAAAAAAATATTTTTTTTGACATTCTAATTCTGAAACTAATCAAAATAATAATAAATTTAATTTTTTTTGAAAAAATGTAAAAAATTATTTTATTAAAATTTAAATATTTTCAAAAAACAGTTAAATGCAACTTTGGACAATGTGGGAAATGATAATCATGCAAATAATTTAATGGAGGAATCTTCAATTGATAAATTAGCTAATTTGGATAATTTAAAAAAGAAAAGAAAAAATTTAAATCAAAAAGAAGTAATGATATCTCCAAATAAAAGAAGTCGAAAATTGGAAAAGCCGATTAGAACTTTGGAAGAAAATATTGAACAAACGGGAATTTTAATGGTAAATATGGGGAAATTTAATTAAATAAAAATTGGTTAAAATAAAAAGTTTTTTTTTTGGAATTTTAATTGAAAATATAAATTAATTAAAAATTAGTTTTTAACTGAAATAATTAATTTCTTTATTAATTCTTTAAAATAATTTACAAAATATTTTTCCTCCTCAATTTTTAAATTAAAAAAGAACTTTTTAGGAAGACGAAGGAATTACAAAAAATAATTTATTAAATAAAAATCTCCATCCACCATCACCCCCAATTACTAACAACAATAACAATCAATTATTTAATAATCAACAAAAATTAGAAGAACAACAACCAAATACTTCAACAACAAATATTCAATTAAATAATTTACAATTTGAACAAATTTGTGGAAAAATTGACAAAACTAATTTTTTGTTAAATAAAATTATTGAATTAATTAATGAACGATTACCTAAAAATAATAATGAAGGAATTTGAGTTTAAGAAAATGAAGTAAGGAAGAAAATATATTTTATTTTGATTTTAAAAATTTATTTTATGTTGTACAAAAAGGATAGAGAATTTTAATTAATTAATTACAAGTTTTTTTTGAATATATGTTGGGAAGGAATTGGGGGATTTTGGAGGGACCTTTTTGAGAAAAACTTTGAGAGAGAAATGGCCTTTTTGAAAGGAGGTTTTGAAGACCCCCTTTTTGAAGGTGTTCTCCTAAAAAAGTTGAAAATAAAAAACTTTTGGGTTATTTATTTAGAAAAACTTGGTAATTCATGTTTGATTTAAAGACTACATATTACAGTTATTTTAATTTTTCAATTTTTGTTTGTTTGCTCATAATAAATCTTGCCAATAAATATATTTACCTCTAAATTAAAGAATAAATGTAAATTTTAATTTTTGTCTTTTATTAAATAACCACAAAATAACTTTAGCTCTACATATTCCCTCTCAAAATTCAATTCAAAAATACTGAACTATTTGCTAATTAATTTTTAAAAATTAATTAATTTTGCGAACTAAAATAATTTTTATTTTTAAAAGATTCTTTATCTTTTTATATAAAAGAATAGGGAGAGAGAGATTAGAATTAAATTACATTAATTTTTTTAACAAAAAATAAAAATCTTTTGTCAAAAAACTAACAGAAAAAACTAATCTAAAAATATATTTATTGAAAGAAAAGTTTATTTTGATGTTTCTTTTTTTAAAAAATGTTTACTTTAAGAAATTTGAGAGGATTTATGTAGGTAATTTTTATTAAATTTAATTTAAATATATTAAATATTTACGTGGATTTTTTGTTTTTATTTTTTTAATTCTGTGAATTTAAAATAAAAAATAATTTTTTTTTCTAAAAAACATTCAATTTAGAGTTGTTGAGACTTTTTAAAACTTCTTTTTAATTCTCCAAAAAATTTCCCTTTTAATTATTTACCTTCTAATTATTTGTGTATTTATTTCCGGTCCTCTTATTTAATTAACTCTTCCACTTTACCCCCCCCCCCCCCCAATAAAAATATTGCCCACTTAAGTTGATAATCCGTCAATTACTTTTGTGTATATATTTAATTCTGATTTTATTTGATTTATTTCTGGAAAAGAAAAATATAAACTTAATTTTATCTCTACTATTTCTACAAAAATATATTTAGTAATTATGGGTATGCCTCTCTAAATTTAAAATAAAATTTAAAATAAAAAATACTTTTTTTTCAGAAATAATTTAAAAAACATTCTAGAGTTGACATTCAGTTTTTAGAATGTTTTTTGATTTGTGGAGACGAGGAAATTTGAGGAAACATGTTGTTGAATCACAAGGAAACAGACTGAGATTCAATTCTTTCTCGATTATATCAACAGCTCTTTTCAGGCCGAGCTCTCTATTATTTTCAAGTTTTAAGTTCCCCGGTCCTATCAATATTTTCCAAAACGTTTACCAAGTCCCAATTTAAGGCTTTAAATATGACAAAAATAATTAACTATTCTTTTGTATATTTTTATTTTATTTTTGTTCAATTTACTTTAATAAAATGTGAAATTAAGTAAGTTACATATACATTTATTCGTTAATTATTTTTTAAATAATTTTTTAAAGTTCAACACAACCAACAACATCTTTAACAGAAAATAAAGAAAATGATACAAAAATTCCCCGAGAAGCAACAAATGAATTGCCAAATCCTGGGGAAATTGCTGATCCTTCCTTAGTTTTCCTTCAAAAATTATTCTTTTTTAATTTAAAAATTAGGTCCCCGTTCATCTCGAAAAGCCAGAATATCGTCCAGTTGCAGTAAATAATCCAATGCCCGTAGTTACTGAAAATCCAAGAGAAGAATCTACAAGTATATCTACAACAATAATTAATTTAGGGGAAGGGAAAAATAAAATAATTGAAGAAATAATTACAACTACAACTACAATACCTAGTGAAGGAGAACAAACAGAAATAACAACACTTAAACCTAAAGAAGAAGTAAATAAATTTAAAAATAAAATATTTAATTTAAATATTTTTTTTAGCAAAAAGAAGAAGAAACAACCGAAGAACCAAAATCTGAGAAAAAAGAGGGAGAAGAAAAAGAAGAAAGTGGGGGAGAGAATAAAGAGGGAGGGGTAAAGGAAGAAGTTAAATTAATTTTAATTTAAAATTATAGGAAATCCCTCCCCCTCCAGATACTTCTACTCCACCAACAACAGATATATTAGAAACAACAACTTTGGAAGAACAAAATAATTTAGATGAAGAAGAATTAATTAAATTAATGACAGAAGCTTTAAAACGTTCAAATTTAGCTATTCAAAATGTTACTTTAATATTACCCGGGGATACTAATCCAACATTATTACAAACTTTTTTACAAACTTTATTAAATAATAATAATTTGGTAAATGAACAACAAAAAAATAATTTAAGTAAAAAAATTAATTTTAAATAAATTTAATTTTTTTTAAAAAAGTGCCTGCCCCCCTTTTTCCTTCAAATCAGTTTTGGCCTTCAGCAGCAAATATTCCTCCACCTAATACTGGTAAATTTAAAAAAGAAACTTTATAATTGGTGCTTGGACGCTCGTGCTAAAATAAGTTGAGATTTCCAAGCTTGAAAGTTGAAACTTCTTTCTTAGAGATTTTGCTTCAAAATAAACATTAAAATTTTATTTTTTTTATAAACAGAATATTGAAAACCTTGACAGGATTTAAAAAATAAAAAAAAGACAAAAGAAAATATTTAAAAATAACCTTAAACCTAAGAAAATAAACTTCTTTTAAATATTTCCAAGTTTATACTTCATCATTTAATATTCCCCAACAACGCCCAACACGTCCTTTTTATTTAATTAAAGTCGAACAATTAAATGATTGGATTAAAGTTTTTTCTATTTAATATTTAAAATTTATTTATTTTTCCAAGTCTGGTAAAAATATAAAAATTTTGGATGCAAGTTATGACCCAGAACCGTTACCCATTGATCATATTAAATTTTATTCTGATTATTATGCAAAATGGGATAAACTTTTATTGGAAAAGGTTTTTGAAAATTGGAATAGAAATTAAAGAAAGATTAAATATTCTAGAGAAATCTTCAATTTGAACGTTCACATTTAGAGGGGGCAATTCCTTTTAATTTAAATATAGCAACTTATCCAAGTTGGTAAGTTGTGGTGATATTTAAATATGTATATTCAAAATAAATAATTATTTAAAAGGAATGAAAGACAATCTTTATATTCCCCCCAACTTTTCCAACAATATATTCAACGTTTGGGGATTGATCAAAATGATCAATTGGTAATTTATGGGAGAGGTCCAAATGGGGGAATGTTGGAATCAGCACGTGTTTGGTTTTTATTTAGAGTAGGGGGTTTTGAAAGGAGAATAAATTAAAAATAAATTTAGATATATGGACATGAAAATGTGGGTATTGTAGATGGGGGTTTGGAAGCTTTACAAAATTCTGATTTTGAATTAACTAATGGAACTACAGAAAATATTAGTGTTAGTTAAATAAATAAATAATTTTTTTAATTTACAACAAAAAATAAGAGGGGAAAATTAATAGGGAATATGTAGGGTTGTCGGTTTGGAAAGACATAGAATAAAACGAGGATCTTAGGTTCGGTTCTCCTGTCCGTTTCCGGATATCCTAACATTTTCGACATAAGAACTGACAACCGAACTGGGGACGAATTTAATAGAAAATGAAATAAAAGCTTTGATATTTATTATTTTCTATTCCCTAATCACAAAATCTCTCAGAAAAGTTTTTTAAAAATATTTTTTAGTTGGGTAATTGGACAGCTAAATTCAGAGATGATTTATTATCTACTTTTGAAGAATTAACAACTGTAGATAATTATGGTTATTGTATTTTGAGTAGATTATTTTGGGTAAATTTTTGAAAAAAATAAATATTTAAAAATTATTTTAAAGTATAATTTTCTCGATTCGAGGCCTAGAAATGAATTTTTTGGATTATCTGGAATTTATGGTAAGCTTAAAAATAGGGGGGCAAAAAGATTTTATTTCAAGAATATTAGGGAATGAATATTTTTTAAAGATTTATTAAACTATTAGATGGGTGTTTAATTAAAGGTAAAAATGGTTCTCAATATAAAATATGAGAACAGAAAATATTTAAATTAAATATATTTTAATTTAAAAAGAAACACAAAGAGGACATTTAACTGGATCAAAGCCTTTTCCAGCTGACGAATTGGTTACTCCAAAAGGATTTTTATTATCCACAGAAGAAATATTAAAAAGTAAATTTTAAAAAGAAATATATTCTTTTTAAACTTCTTTTAAAGAATTAACACAAATTGGTTATAACCGTAATTACCAAACAATTGTTTTTGGCAACACAGCAGATGAAGCTTCTTTAATTCTTTTAGCATTAGCTTTAGTACAAGACACTAAAGCAAAACTTTATAATGTTTTTAAATTTTGAAGAAAATAAATAAATAATTAATTTTTTTCAGGGAGGAATTGAAGAAATAAAAAGAAGAGCTCCTTATTTAATCAAAAATTGATTTTTAAAAATTTTATTTTTAATTTCCATTATGTAGAAAATTTTTATTTAAAGTAAATTTGCAAATATAAAGTATGTATAATAAAAATAAAAATTAAATAATAATTTTATTTTTAAACATTTATTTCAATTTTTTAGAAAAATATAGAGAATTTGGGTGTTACGACAATTGCGGATACGCACGTGCGGATGCGACAATTGCTGATTAAAATTTTTTTAATTTTAAAAATGATTGAAATGATGTTCTGTTTTTTAGTCCCGGCTGCCAGTTTCCGACTTCTGACGGTTTCCGAATCATTTTTAGACTAATGTGGCACTTAAAACTTTAAAAAATCTTAAACTTTTTAAAAATTTTATATCCGCAATCGTCGCATCCGCACGTGCGTATCCGCAATTGTCGTACCGCCAGAATTTGCAATTAAAATATTTTTAAATTTATTTACAAAAAAGAGAAAAATATTTAAAACAAATGAAAGTGGAAATTTAAAAAATATTTTTAATATTTATTTAAATTCAATTTTTGTATATTATTTTGTTGTTTTTTGTAGAAAACCACAGAATTTTCTATAAATTAAAAAAAAATAATTTAAAAAATAAAAATGAATAAATTTATTTACTTGGATGACCACCATAGGGGACAACAGCGGTAGTTGATGAATTGAAATTGGAGGGAGAAATAAATGGAAATTGTTTAAGAAATGCTCGGCTATATTCAGTACTTTAATTTAAAAAAGAATTTAGTTAAGAATTAGTAGAATATTGTTAAGTATATTTTTTTTAAAAAAGATAAATCTGTTTTTAAATCCAAAAAATTGTTAAACATTTTTATTTTTTGAATAATTTTAAAGGTGCTAATAATTAATATTTTTAGAGAGAGAATCTGTAGTTGAGGGGTTAGACATTTTTTTAATATTTAAATAGATACCTTATTTTAAAATTTTTACCTAAAAATATATAAAGAAACAGGAGACAAACTCATAGCAATATAAGGCATAATTGTTGTTATATTAATTATATACCAAGAATTTAAAGTGTGGAGATTGGCTGCCCCAATAATTAAACGAATTGAATAATTAGATATCCACCCACAAATTTCCATTAATAAAATAACAGAAAGGGATTTAAATACATTTACTAAGAGAAGAAAATTAAATTTTATTTAAAATTAATACTTCTTTTTCTTCTTAAACTTACATTGTGTTTTCTTCATTGAATCTTTAAACATTAAAATAATCCAAACAGAAATATAACAAAAAACCTAAAGTAATTAAATTTTCTAAAACAAAAAAAATTCTTACAGAAGATAAATTAACAGAGAGTAACATAATTACTACCCAAGTAGCATCTTTTTGCATTGGATCTCTAATAAATTTTTTATTCAAAAACATTTAAAAAATAAATTATTTACATTACAGTGCACATAACTGGTCTAAAATTTAAAAAATTGTTAAAATAATTAAATATATACAAACATTTCTGGATTTGATAAAGAAATATTAATTCCACATATAGGCACAATTAAAGCATATAAACAACAAAAAGTAATTATTATATTTAAATAATTCTTTTTATCATGAACCATATACCTTTAATTTTAATTAATTAATTAAATTATTTAATTAATTACCATATTGGAAAAGCAACACTTAAAAGGCGGTCAACACCAATTGAAAATGCTATTCCATTAGTAAAAATTGTACAAAATAGAGGAATTGCCTTAAAATTTTGTTTAAAATAATTATTTACGATAAAAAAATAGAAGTTCGGTCGAATGCCGAAATAAATAGTTAGAAAATATTTATCCTTGATAATCATAATTTTGATTAAAATCTCGCTCGCTCAAATAATTAAATTTGCTTAAAACCACTCCCAAGTTTTCCTGAATTATAAGATTATTTTATAGGTTTTGGTTTTAAACCAATCAGAAGTCTGCGGATTTGTTTTTATCACGGGAACTAGCTTATAGATAACTTAATTTGGAGATTATGTACATAAAGGTTTGAAAGCCAATCACTAACAAATTAAAATATATATTTACCTGTATAATTCCACAATATCCAAGAGGAATAAAATTTGTTCCACTTACTACAACGGCTAAAGTAACGAAACTGCTACTTTGTTGGCTACAAATAGAGAAAGCATTTAAAGCTATTTGTAAATTACAAGCTCCTCGTAAATTTCTTTAAAAATTAAAAAAGAGAATATCTTCAAAAATTACTTTGTTTTCCAAGTAATGTAAACAAGATCTCCATTTAAAATAATACCTAATAGACAAACAAAAGCTTTACAAAAAATAAGCAAAACTAAAGGGACACAAAAACCTGCATCTTTAAATGCAGCATAAGCCTTAAATTAAATTTTAATTATTTTGCGAATATATTTGAATATTCCAGAAACTTTTTCGATTTTTAAAAATTTTCTGGAAAATAAAAATTACATTTATTCCAAAAATAATCTATTATTTTGGTATTTCCCGAAAAAATTTTTTATTTTACTTACCGGATCTGTAGTTATATTTGACATTATAGAATTTTGCAACAAATCTTTTAATAATTTAATGGTTAATTTTAATTATTTTTTCCCACTTTTCAATAATAATAACTTTAAAATAAACCTATAAATATAACTTTCTCTAATAAAAAAATAATTTTTAAATTAAAAAAATTGTGTGAAAATTTAAAAAACGGAAATCATGTGGGGGGGGGGGTTGTTTAAATGGGAATAATTAAATGTAAAAAATCCCTTCTATAAAAAACAATTTTAATTTTTAATTTTTTTAAATGTCTTTAAAAAACGGAAAAGGCTAGTAACTTTTATATATTTAGATAAATAATGACGATAATTTTAAACTTAACGAGGAAATAATTTTTAGTGTTCAAATATTTGTATATATTAATGAATAAAGAAGACAAAAAAATTAAATTTTGTATTTTTAAGTTTACTAGAAAAATATTAAATTTAAAAAAAGTTAAAAATAATTTTTTAAAATTAATTTCTTTGTTTAAGAAGCTTGGAAATTTTTAGGAACTTTTTTGTTACAACTTTTTATAATAAATTGGAGAAAACAATGGGAATTATGTGAATATCTATTTTAATTCACATAAAATTGGAGAAAAAATTGTAGTTACATATGAGAATATCTATTTATTAATTTGGAATTAAATATAATTTCGAATTTTAGCAGATTCAAAGAAATTTACAGACCAAGCTTAATCTTTATAAAATTTAAACTTAAATCTTCCAACAGAAATACTCACATATTTTCTCTTTAATTGTGTAACTTTCTATTTAAATCTGGAAATAAATCCATTTAGAAGCAATTCCTTATAATTAATTACAAAATATATTTTATATTAAAACGATATTTTGGTAATAAATTTAATAAAATCAAGTGCCTAGTTTAAGAAAAAATCAACAAAAGCTTTTTAATAATTAAAAAATTAATTAAAAAATATTTTACACTAATTATAAAGTACATATACACGCTATATTTAATTTAAATTTAATGAGGAATTAATTTTGAATTTTCTATTAATTTTAAAAAATTAAACACAATTTCACGCAATCATTTTTTAATGTTTGTTGCTAAATGGCAACGGTAAATAAAATTCTCTAAAATTTTTTTGTTAGTTTATAATTTTTTAATTAAAATTTATTTGGAAATAATAAAGTCTCAAAAATAAATTTATAAATATTATTTTCCTTTTATTTTAATTTTAATTAAAAAACAAATTTGGCAGTAATAAAAGAAAGGACTTTTTTTATTAATTTTAGATTTGTTATAAACCAAAAAAATATCCTTCTACATCATTTTTTTCTAGGGAACATAAGGTTGTCGTTCTATAACGGGTTTCAAAGTGTAACTGAAAATTGGGAATTATTTAAAGTTTAGAAAATTTATTTTTATTTAACAAAAAAATATATTTAAAGATTTTGGTCTATATATTTAAATTTTTTTATTTATATTTAAAGACTAACTTTATTGGATAAGGATTAGCAACAGTTTGCCAAGCCTCTGTTTCTTCAAATTGCCAATAACCTTGTTTAATTTCCGGTGGAGGCTCTTTCCCTTCAATTTCTCCAAAATCTAATTCCTCTTCTTTTCTTGGTGGACCACCTCTGTAAATTTATTTTTAAAAGAAATATTTTATAAATAATTGTTTGATTGATATATTCCCTCAATTAAGTAAAACTTAAAAATTAATTTTAATTATTTTTTACCTTTTCTGTCGTCTCGTTGTTGTAACTGTTGTTTTTGTTTGTTCATCAAAAGGAACTCCTCCCCCTTCTCTATCAAGTAAATGGGCTGCCCATCCACAATGTAAAATTAAAAGTCCGGCAATAATTAAAATTATAGCGAAAGGAAGGAGAGCCCCGGCACTTTATTTTAATTTAAATTTAAAAATTAAATATTTAAAAAAAACTAAACATATAAGAACATTCAACAGCAATACAAGTCAATAAAAGCCCCAATAAAAGTAATATTCCAATCAAAAATAACAAAAATCCAATTATAACAACAAATTTTCTTTAAAATAAATTTAAAATTAAATATTTTTGTATTTAATTCTTTAAAATAACCTAGCCGGCCAGACCCCCATATATACAGGAAGGCAAATGCCACAAAATATTGGGGGAGATCTCTTGTAATACCAAGGCACATATTTTGTCATTTTGGGTTATTATTCTGAAAATAATTGTTAATTAAATATCTGAAAAATAATTCGGTCTTGATTAAAATAATTCTGATTTGTCTACTAATATTAATTCTTTATTTTCCCGAGAATTATTATTTAATTGTGTTGTAAGGAAAATACACTGGAGTAAAAGGATCGTATTTTTAGTATTGAGTGTTGGAGAAAAAATGCTTTATTTATTTTTTAGAATTAAATAGGGTTTTACAAGTTGAGTTTTGAGTTAAACATTTAAGCGATTTTACTGCCCTGATGACCTTGAATGTCTAAGATTTTGATTAAAAAAAAGAAGCTAAAGTTTCATTTCAAAATTCGATAAAAACAGAGCCGGGTGTAAAAATCTAGTTTTTTGGGGGGTTTAACTAGTAAAACCCGGCCCGGATCAGTTTAAGAAAAACCCCTGAATAAATTCCCCGAATAAAGGGGCTTGGCAATTCGAAAAGTTCAAATTCTAGCTTTTAATGATTTTGAAAAATTATATTAAATACAACTTTTAAATTTATTTATTTATTTTGATATACAAATGAGTAAAAAAGAATTTTATTTTTGTTTTATTTTGTCTTTCAACTATCAAAAGGAATGAGAATGTTTTGAAGAATAAAGTAATTGATTGATCATTTTCTCGAAAGAAACAGCCGCATTCTTTTTTAAATTGTTTCTATCATTTTATATTTATCCACACAAAAGCAGCCATGAAAACGAGAAAAAGCTTAAGATTATTTAAGTTTATGCTCTCCAAAAGAAAATGAGAGCTCCAAAAGTAAGTGAGAGGAAAAAATTGTTTTTATTTGTAGAGAACACAGAATGGAGGATTTGGACAAAAATAAAAATTATTTGTTGAAGATATACTACCTAATTTTATATTTTAAATTGTCTGCTAGAAGGACATTGAAATTTATATCGGAAATATAGGCGAGGAATTAATAATTTTATTTTTTAATAAAAATTAATAAATTTAAAACGTGTTATTCCGAATTTTCAAGCTAAAAGTAAAAAAACAAAAATTAAAATAAAATTTTTAAAATATTTTATTTATTTATTATGGTTAAAAAACAAAAAATATATTTGTGAATCAAATGTGTAAAAATGAAAAAAATTCTTAAGATGGTTTTGTATGAAAGAAAAATAACAAATAAAAAAATAAAAACAAACAAAATTTTTTATTTTTTAGAGTTGGGAAAAATTAAATGGAATACTCATAGTCAAACCAATCTAAAATACCCCCTCCTTCGGCGGGTTCCGAGGATGTTATTTTAGAGATTCGACAATAGATAGATAATTAGCAATAGTAAATTAAATTAAAAAAATTCTCTTTATTAACAATTATTAAAAGACAAATAATAACAAAATTAAAGAATTTTTTAAAAATTATAGATAAATCGAAAATTTAGACATAATTTTGAAGAGAGGATGATTAGATATATTTTTATTAAAATTAATTTAAGGATATGTATTTGTGTGTAAAAAAAAGAGGGAAATTGTAAAAAATTAAAAATATTTAAATGAAAATTAATTAAATATATAAAAAGAATATCACCGGATATGGAACGAAAAAAAAATTAGATTTACAAAGAAATATTAAAAATAGTAGTACCTAAAAAAGATTTTACATTAAAACACTTTAAAAAATATTTTGTTTAGATAAGAATAACAAAAAAATTAATTAATTAATTAAAATCAATAATAATTAAATTCAGTCAATAGACTGGAGTAATTCCCCGTTCATTTTCATGGTCCTTCCATCGTTGATCATCGCTAGGATGTGTTACAAAGCGTTCGCCAACTTCTTTTTCTAGCAATCGCAAATCAGACCAAAGCTGAGAAAAATAAAAATAAATTATTTTAAAATTAAGAGATGCCACCATTTATGACAACCCTTCCCGAAATAGAGGTGATAAACAGGAATACAGAGAAGAGGAAGGCAGGGACAAGAGAAAAAGTTTGAAAGTTTAAAAAGCACCTGATAACTTTGTAACCAAATATGTGCCAACGATTTAGAAACAGTAAGTCTTTTACTCATTTTAACTTGCAATAAAGAACTGATAAACTCTATTGCTAAAAAATAAAAAAATAAATTCGAAAAAGTTTAATATTCTTTAAATTAACCTTCAGCACTAACTTCCTTCCAAGGATTGGGGGGATACATAAATTCAGCATTTTGAATTTGATCATTAATATCTTCATCTTCATTAAATGGAAAAGTACCAGAAAGGCTTACCTTTAAAAGGAATTTTTAATAATATTTTTATAAATAGTTCATTTGGTAATTGTATAAAGTGTCAACAACAAGATTACCCGGGAACAATATTACGGCACCAAAAATTTAACAAAAAAATTTTTTAATAACTTTTCAGTAAAAAAATTATTTTTGTTATTTTTTAAAAGTTACTAAAGATTTCCCCGCAGTCATACAAATATATGTAGTTAAGATTTAATAAAAAACAATTTTAATAGAAAAAACCTACATAAACAATAACACCAACAGACCACATATCCAAAGATCTATTAAATCCTTTATTTCGAAGAACTTCAGGTGCCAAATAGGCTGGAGTACCAACAACAGAACGTCGAAAAGAACGTTCTCCAATTATTCTTGCAAAACCAAAATCACAGAGTTTAACTTGTGGAAAATCAGAATCGGAAGTTAATAAAATATTTTCTGGTTTTAAATCACAATGGACAATATTTTGGCTATGTAAATATTGAAGGGCAATTAAAATCTGAAAAAAATTATCTCTAATTCATTTTCAAATAATTCCATATTTTTTATTTGGCAGAGGAATTACATTTGATAGATTAATTTTGTTAAAGTTGCAAGGAAGGAGAAGGGTATAATGAAGGAAAACATTTCCTTATTTCAAAGAAATGAGAGACATTTACAAAAATTTATATTTTTTTAAAAATTCAATCTACCTGATGAACTAAAAATTGAGTAATACGTTCTGAAAGCCTTCCTTTCTCAGAAGAAAGTATCCTAAATAAAAATTTAATTTTTCAATTTTAATTTCTCTCTTACATTTCAAGCATATCACCCTTTAATTTCTCCATAACAACAAAAATTCTATCAGGCGTTTCAAGCATTTGCTGAAATTCTACAACACTTGGATGCCTAACTTTTTGTAATATTTCAACTTCTGTTCTAAGTGCAGCTTCTTTATTGCTTGGAAATTTAAGTTTGTCGATTAATTTAACGGCTACATGTTTTCCTGTTTTGCGTTGAATACCTTTAAAATTAAAAAGGAATGACTAGGATTTAGATTTTTATTAAACTATTCGATCCTTGGATCAATGAGATAAATTATTGAAAATTATAACTAATCTCCTTTGTTAGAGGAAATTGAACTTTATTAAAGTATTACCCCCACAAAAAATTTTTTTAACCAGTCCAGGTAAAAATATAACCAAATAAATATTAACGGGATATATTGGTTATACCGACAAATATCTTCAATTAAATAAAACAAATCTCTCCTCCACAAAATATATTAACTACATATTTACCTCCATAAACAGTACCAAACTGTCCAGACCCCAAAACTTCATCAGCAAATATTTGATAAAGTTGAGAGAATTCTTGTTCACTTTGTATTTGAACACCCAAATGCCCAATTTCATTATTTGTTTGATTTATTTGTTTAGAATTTTTTTGTAAATCTTTTTGTCCATTTTTTGATATTTCTCTTTCTTTGTTAAAATTTAGAGAAGGTTGGTTGTTTGATTGTTGGGGGGTTACGGGCATTAATGCTTGTTTTATTGCTTGGGCCCATTGGGAAGCGTTGGCAATTGCTGTTTTTAATTGTTTTTCTGGGGAGAAAACTTTTTCTGATGTTGACGAAAGTTGGGATGATGATGAAGAATCTTCTAATTGTTGAGGACTACCTGCTATAAAAAAAATTAAAATTAATTTAAATTTAAATTAATTTATTTATTATTTTAAATTCCCCCAAAAAACAATAAAAATTGTTTAAAATTATTAAAAAATATTTTATGAAAAAAATGCTTATATTTACTAGTGTTGGTCAAACGCGATTTTTCGGTATCGGTATTTTCGGTAAAATACCGATACCGAAAAAATACCGATTTTTTAAAAATTGTTCGGTACCGTATTCGGTATCGGTATTTCGGTAAAAATACCGCGGTATTACCGAAAAATACCGCCGTAATACGGTACCGTGACCAACACTAATATTTACTACAAAGACCTATAAAATACAAAAAACTGTATTTCTAAAATAAAAATACACAAAAAATTTTCAAAAATATTCACAATTAATTTAAAAATTTTTCTTTTCCATTTTCTCACCTTTTTTATATTTTTTATTATTTTTCCCCTTTCCATTAAAATTTAAAATAAATTTTTTTTGAATATTTCCAAATTTTTTAAATAATCCATTTCCTCTCACTTCTTTTTTATTTTTTTCTTCTTCCACTTTTTCCACATAATTATTTAATTGAATTCTTTCAAAATTATCAATTTCACTTATTGCAGAAACTGTTTTGCTTAAACTAGAAGGACAACAAATTATTGTATTTAAACTATTTGGTTTGTGATGTTTACGACGTTGTTTTGCTAAAATTGCTGAGAGGATAGTTGAAGGAGTTGGAGATTTTGAACGGCGGGAAGAAGTTTGTGAAGAGGAAGAAGCAAAGGATGATGAAGAGGATGAGGAAGAAGAGTTTTTCTTTATTTTTACTTCAAACTCTTCTGGCATTGAAAGATGAACAATTGAAGAATTAATTGAAGAAGAAGAAGAAGTACTAGCTGTATTGGTTGAAGAAGAAGAGGATTCCCCAGACTCGGCAGAAGGCATTCTTCCATATCCCGGTCTACAACAAAAGAAACGTTTAGGATGCCGTTCATTACTAGATAATGGATTTGTTGGTGTTGTTGTGACTGCCATACTTTTTTTTTAATTTTATTTAAACAAATTCTACAAAATTAATTTTAAAATAAGTCTCGCAAAATTTAAAATTTTAAAAGAATAATAAAAAATTATTATAAAAAATAAATGTACTACTTAAAAAAATAAAAAGAAAATTGCATTTTTAAATTGATTTTGATGCGCAAAAAAATAAAATAAATTGCACAATTATTAAAAATATTTGTTATTGTTATTTAAAGAAAAAAGTAAAAAGTGAAAAAACGAAAGAGTTTTATGCAGAAGAAACGTTTAGGATAAAATTTCCCCTAACATCCTTCCGATTGGAGCCTTGCTTTAGGTTATTTTTACAATTATTTTTAAGGATTTAGGACATATTAGTTCAGCAGATATTTTTGTTGGCAGGAAAGGTTTTGTAAAAAAAATAAAGATTTTATGTATATTGATTAAAAAATAAATTAATTTCCCAAATGTTTCTATAAAAAGAATAAAATATTTCAAAAAAATGATTTTGTACAAACAAAAGACAATACATTTGCTGACATTTTAGCAAATTTGTCACGATTTTTTCATTTAAAATTTTCTAAAAATAGAAAAATGGGAATTTAAAATTGAAAAAAAAGTCTGATAATTTTTTTAATGATTCACAAGAAAGAAAAAGAGAAAAATAAAATAAATTTTAAAATTAATATTAACTTTTAACAATTAAAAATAATCAAAATAAACGAAGAAAAGGAAAACCTTTTACTTTAAATACATATTTAAGTAAATCACAAAATACAAAATAAATTAAATTATAGTTAAATAAAAATTAAAGTTATACATAGTTTAACACTTTTGATTAATTTATAATTTATGTATTCAGTTAATAAATACAAAAAAATAAATTGTCAAATATTTAGTTTAGCAAAATAAAAAAATTTTTCTAGTAAAATTCTGGGTATTGCAAAAAAAGACTAATGTAAGATATATCCAACAAAAGTAAAAGCTGTTAATGAGAAAATATAAAAATAATCAAAAAAAAATTTGAATAGAAAAACTAAAAGAATAAAATAGATACTAATTATTTCCTATTATTTGTTAAAAAAAAAGGAAGTAATAATTGAAGAAAAATATATTTATTTTTATTATCAAAAAACGAAAAATATATTTTTTTCGAAATATACTTTTTTTGTATTAAAACAAAAATAAAAAATTTGTTGTTAAAAATGTAAGTAATTCTTAAATAAAAATACATCATTGAATATCGAAAAAATCGAGGTTTAATCATGAAAGAAGCAAAAACTGGAACAATCTGAGCATCAGATCTTTTTAAATATTTATTGAAAATAACGACCGATGCTTCTGGTATATGTATATATAATTATTATATCTAATTATTCTTATTTATTTGTTGGTTGGATGAACATTAACAAGGTTATTCTCAAATAAAAGTGATTGGAAACCGCAAAAGAGAAGAGAAAGAAAAATAAAATAAAAAATAAAAGTCTAATGGAAAATTTACAAATAAAATTGCAATAAAGTGTTAATTACTCAAATATTCAAATCTTTATCCCTGAAATTCCTAATTTATTCAAAATGTTCAGAAAGTTAAATGAAATTTATTTTCTCCACAAGGTTAAAGAACTGTAGCGATCAATCTAATAAAGATTGATATAAAAGGATTAACTCCTAACGTAAATAAATATTGAAGAAAAATAATTAGTAAATCTTTCTAATAAATAATTTACTCAGATGAATATATTCCCGAGGAAATGGAAAAGAAAGCAAATAAATATTGGGATAACTTTTTTGATCTTATAGATCGAGAACAATTAGAAAAACATATTTTTAAAAAAACTAGTCTAAGGTAGTAAATACGCAAAGGAATAAAAAAATCGAGGAAGTGGCGCAAACGGAAAAAGAAAAAATAAAAATAAAAGAAAAATTAAAGTGTCCGTCATTGACAAACGGAAGAAAAAAGTAGAAAAAGTGACCAAATTGTGGAGGAAAGGAACAATCGAGCAATTAAAATATTAAAAATATTATCATTCATCGAAGCGAAAAATCATCAAAAGGATGATGAACGATTTCGGAAGTGTTTTTTTTTTCTTTTCTTTTTTAAAAAAATAATCTCAGAAAATGACAGGATATTTTTCTTTTATTTTTAAAAAGGGCAAATAAAATTTAAGAAAAATTAAAAAATATATTTTAATTTAAAAATAAGTTAGACAAGTTTAATCTTAATAATAAAATTCAAATGAAAAATAAAATTAAATAATAAATTCAATTACTTAAATTAGCGATCGGAATTCCGTACTGTCTAAAAATAAGGAATACCGATAAATTCCGAAAAATATCGTCGGTAGTAAGATATCTTGATCACTACCCCAAATAGGGGGATTGTTAAGAATGGTTAAGTGGATCAAAAATTATTTTTCTTTCTTCTCTTCGTCTTTAATACATCCTTTAAAATAGAAAACTCTCCTCTAAAGTAAAATTTATCATTAAAATCAGACATTCAAGTAAAATAAAAATAATAGTAATAATTATTTTTGGATTTTTACACAAAAATTAAAAATAAATCTAGAAAGGAGTATAACTGGTGACTTTTAAAGGTTTTAATAAGATTGATGAATATTTTAAGACTGACTAAGAAAATATTTATTATAAGTAAATTTATTGGGCGAAAAGGTGAAAAAAGGAGAAGAGAGGGACCACAGATTGTTTGCTTGATTTTCTCGTTTTAAAATATATTTTTAATAGTTTGCAAAAAAAAAAGAGAAGAGGAGAAAACGACGTGTTAAAAATTAATGGCCCCAAAAAGGTGGTAAGAAAACTTTCTGAAAGAAGGTTGTGGCAAATGGATTAGAGGCTAGAATTTAATTTGTTTAATAAGAAAATAAAATACATACTTTTAAAAATGATAAAAATTAAATTAATTAAACAAAAAATAATTAAAAATCAGGCATGTTTTAGCCCAAAACTTTTTCAGAAATTAACCAAAATAAACAAATAAAAATTAAATTTTAATCAAATTAATTAAATTAGAAGTAAGAGTTTTCAGGTTTCGAGTCCGCAAGTTCAAATTTCCATCAAGAAAATGTTTAAAAAAGCTGAATAGAAGAAAATGGAGAGAAATATAAGTAAATATTTTTTAAAGAGAATAAATAAAAAATATAAAGTTTGATCGTAAAAGAATTTTTGTATTTTTTTTTATAATTTTATAAGATGAAGGTGATAATCACATTATTTTATTTTAATGGAACTTTCACTGACAGAGAAATAAATAAAATAAATAAATACAAAAAATTCTAAAATATATTCAAGTATTACTAATGTGTGTAAACACATTTAATAAAACTTTTATATTTACACGGCGGGTCCACCCTGTTGACGCACGCGTGAAAACTAGCTAACTCTTTTCCTTAAACATAACGCCAAAATTTAAATTAAATGTCTGTTATTCTCCAAATTCTATTTCATCTCTCGTGCGTCTGACTTTATTGGAAACAAGAGAAAGGGTCAGAAGGAGACATGTTATAAAATGGTCAGAAGGAGGGAAAATGGTCAATTCTCTCATTTGTGAGGGGGAATTAGTTAAATTTTATAACTTTTTATCCTCTGATCCTATTTTTTTCAAATTTTGTATTTTTATAGACCTAAAATAGTTAAACAATCCTACAAAGTTTGGGAAGCTAATATACATTTTTAACTAAGTTAGGAATTTTTGAAAACTCGATATTTACGACTTTTAGGAGTCTGTATCTCAGCTCATAACTAAGGTATTTTCTTGATTTTGGTGTCATTCGACTCAACTCGACGAGCTCTTTCGAATGACAAATAACACACATACTCGGGAATTGCCCATATTCGTAAGTATATTTTGTCGAATTTCGGGAGTCTATAACTAATAACCCCAAGTGGCAAAATTTCCTTCAAAATTTGCCAAATTGTAGTACTATAATTGATATACAATTTTGCGAAATTTGAGTGGAAAATCTGCAAATAGGGCTAAGTTATGAATTTTTAAAAATCGGTAAAAATTTATACATTTTTGGCCATAACTCATCCTAATCAGGCCCTATAAATTCAAATTTAGCATGAATCGACGTTACTCGTCGAGCTGCATCAAATTAAACTAAATTTGACTTCCTAAAACTTTTTTCCGATTAGTTTTTTAACTAAAATTGATAGAAAATGCAGTTTGCATTAACTCTGTGAATTTTGCATTAAAATTTACGAAAATTTTTTGAGAGAATCTTAAAACAATTATCTATGAAATGTATCAGCAGATTTTAAAACGTATGAGGAGTTTTCGAGATATGGGATTTCAAAGTTTTATTAAAATTTGTTTTCGCAGTCGCAAAAAAAGAGTGCATAAAAGAAAGAGAGACAGTTAGAGAACGAAAGAAAAAAGAAATAGAAAGCTAAGTAGTTTTCACGCGTGCGTCAACAGGGTGGACCCGCCGTGTATTTATTAATGTTTAAAATTAAAGTTTTTTTAATTTAAAATTTTATAGGAAGTATGTAAACATTTTTTGAGGAAATAATTAATTTATAAATAAATTTATTCAAAAAAATTCGGAAAGGCTTTCTATCGTTTTTATGGAAGAAATTATTTAACAGGGAAGTTTTAAAAAATTAAAAAAGGAGGAGGAAGTATTTTATTTAAATTTAAAAGTTAAGTAAATAAAAATTAAAAGGTTAAACAAATTAAATAAATAAAAATAAAAAATATTGTCTGTGGAATTTAAAAATAAAAATATAAATCTGAAAAAAAATAATTCAAAATTTAAACTAATCAATTGGAAATAAATGATTAAAAGGTCAATTAATTAAAAAAAGAAAATTATTCAGCAATTTGTTTATTTTAAATTTAATTTGTTGAGGAAATAAAAATTTTTAGTAAGAAAATTAAAAGAATAACAGACTAAAAAGATAATTTTAATTTTTGGAAAGTCAAAGACTTTCTTTAAAAATTTAAGTTTTTTGTTTGTTTGAAAATAATAATCTTGATCTCTAGATAAAAAAGGTAAATCAGAGAAAAAACAGTCCATTTATTTAAAGTTTTCATCCTAAAAATAATTTTTAATCCCCAAAAATAAATAATTTTGATTAAATAAAAATAATTACTAATCTGTCTCTTGAAAGGAGTAAGTGTTTAATTTTTGAAATAAAAAAATGAAAAAAAAATATATTTAAAAATAAATTTTCAAAAAAAAATACAAAATTCGGCAAATAAAATAGAAAAAAATTCTATATTTAATAGACACTACTTAAAAATAAAAGAAGATGATTCAAATAAAAAAACAAGTTTTGTTTCATTTAGGAGATTAATAAAATATTTTTAAAATTTTTAATAAATTAAATTTTGCAATAAATTTGGAAAATTGAAGGAAATCTAAAAATGTAAAAATGATAAAATTAGAAGAAAATTTTTTTGAAAAAAAATATTTAAAAATTACAAAAAAAGATAACTTGTCTATCTACCTATCTATTTATTGCAAATAAATAAATTTTAAAATATTTAATTATCATCACATGAGGTAATGAAAGAAAGAAATGCAAAGAAAAATTAAAGAAAGAGTAAAGAGAATTTAACGAGTTGTGCGGGATTTTTGGCCAAATTTAGTCAAAAAAAGAATTAAAATTAAGAGAATTAGTAATAATTAAAAGTTGAGAATTTCTCAAGTTTTTGATACATAAAAAGTTTAATTTATTAGTTCTGATCAAATAATTATTAGAAAAATCAGATTCTTAAATAAAAAATCAAAACATTTCGAAATTTATTACCTAATTTAAAATAATTTAAAAAAACTGACAAATAAAAAACATTAAAAAATATTTTAACATCGTTAAAAATTCTATTTAGAGTTTATCAATAAGTGGTTAAAAAAGGAAATAAAAATTTAAGTGCTATCAAAAAATTAAAAAAGGAAATTTTGTGAAGAAAAAATAAAATAAAAAAATCTATTTTAGAAGAATAATTATTTTTATAATAATTTTTTAGATCAGATTTATTTTTGTAAGTGAACTCCACATAATGCATCGGGCACAAGGACATAATCTCTGGAAGCATCTATGCGATATTACTTTGGGGCAATTAGGACTGACAAATATATGGAAATATATCAGGAAATACATCCTGTTAAAACTATTTATAACAGGAATCATTTATGTTGATAAAGAAAGATATATCAATTTTTAGTCGTTTCCTATTTATTAAGATTGTTCCGAGTCTCTAAAATATCCATGGAGTATTAATTCATTCCCGTGCAGTTTTTCCAAAAATTAAACAAAAAAGTTAAGGAATTATAGTTAGATAGTTTCAGTCCAAACTTGAGATACAAAAAAATTAAAAATTATATAAAAATAAGATTAACATGTTTAGAAACATTCACAAATCTAATTCCAAAAATAAATAATCTTAAATAGGCAATAAATAAAAAACATTTTTATATTATTATTTTCTAAAAAAGCATTTATTTACTAATTCTTCAAATAAATATTTATTAATATTTAAAAGCAAATAAAAATAAAAGTTATTTAATTCCATTCCTTTTATATAAGCAAAAATAAATCCCTCCCCCCTCCCTAATATTTTTGTGATGTATTTAGTTAATGCGTTTTTACATTTTTAGAAACATGCGCGAATAAATAAATTTTGTAAAAATAACAAAAATGGATATAAATTAGAAGTATAAAACGAGAAAAGAGAGAAAATAAAGTAAATTTAAATTTTTTTGAAAAATAAAATTAATTTAAAAAGATAAATTTAAGAAAATTAAAAATATAAATGATAAAGAAAATAAAATCAAGAAGAGGATAAAGAAATAATTTTTGAAAAATAAATCCTTTACAAAATAAAAAAAATAAATATTAAAAATATAACATTAAAAATTGGCTAAATCCTAAAAACACAAAAACTAGCAAATGAATATTATTAAAAAACACAAAAACAATTTTGACCAACCCCAATAAAAAATTTTCCTAAAAAGTTAACCTTCGTGACGTAATAATTAATAAAAAATAATTGTTAGTAAATAAAAAAAGCAATACGCAACCTAAAATTTAATAATTTCTCTCTCTCACTCGTTGATCATTTAATATATCAACAAATTCGTCACAAAAATTACTTTTTATAGTAATTATGTTCTTCGTTTATAGATTTAAAAAAATTAAATAATTAATTAAATTAACTGATTTTTGGAATTAATTGTGTAGGCGTTTAAACTCTGCAAAATTAGATGAGAGAGAGGTTATTAAGGCGTGGTAAAGTTTAGGCGTTAACAAAATATACAAGAGAAGTGAAATTTGTATAGATATTTTAAAAAGTGTCAGCTAACCCTGAGAAAGGGCAGATTAAATCGTTTTAAGCCTATCCAATTTTTCTAAAACTAACTTAATACTTAAATATGTAGAAGTATATGTCGTATAAGTAACCAATTTAAGAACTGAGGTACTAATTAACAGTTTTAAGGGTTGCGTCCTAAAGAAGCCCATATTCTATAACGCCCATTTCTCTTTCCCAATATTTTATTTATTTTTAAATTGTGCTGTTCTTTGTTTACAAATTAAGAAAAAACAAATTAAATAATTAATTTAATTACCTAAGTGATTTTTGGAATTTAATTGTGTAGGCGTTTAAAGAAAATAAGTTAAAGAGGACACAAAAAATGAATAAATTATTTTACTATTATTCTTTCATCACTAAATTTTTTTAGAAAAAAAAACAAATTTTCTTCCTTATTATCTAATATAAATATACGTAAGCAAAAATAAAAATAAAAAAAATTAAAAAAAAAAATAAAAAAATAAAAGCAATGATCAACCAAATTATTTGCAAAAATTAAAAAAATATCATTAACACCCAAAAATATTACTAATTTTTCTAAAATTTTCTTTTAATTAAAAATAAACTTACCAATAAAATAAGTTGAAGTATGGGTTCTAATCTCAAAAAAGTGTGTTGGACTGCGGCTCAACTCTGTATGATCTTCTTCTATGCCTGGTGCTATTTTAACTTCTAGGACCTCACTCAATGGGATTTCCTAAAATAAATTGAAATTTTTTTTGGACTTTTATTAAGGATTTAATAAAAATAAATGGGCTCTCTCTCGACAAGAGAAAAGCTATTCAAATGGACTTATTTTAATCTCCCCCTCCCCCTAATTAATTTAATATTTTAATTAAATGTGTATCATCTACCTTATAATAACTACTTGCTGTCTCATCTTTAAACATAGTAATAGCTTTAGGGTCTAATCGCCAAAAATGCCTTTAAAAATAATTTTTTTCAAAAAATATTTATTTCTTTTTTTACTTTTTCCTCATAGAATGCCTTTCCGTATAATGCACCATCCATCCTTCTTTAAGTGCCCTATTTGTTGTTGGCCTTTTTGTTTGTTTTTTGGACATTACGACACGCATTAATGGAATATTTGCACTTTCTTTAGCAATATTTAAATCCTCATCTTCATCTAAATCAGTCATTGTATTTATTGTCTTTTGTTGTTCTTCTTTTTGTTGTTGTCTGATTTTTCCTGTTTTGCTGCTGCTGCTAGTATTTTCCTTCTCTGTACTGGAAAGGGGAGCACTCGGAGTTGATTGAGCCCAAGGCTTTTGCAAACGAGAATTTGTTGAAGTTGTTGTTGCAGTTAAATCTTCGTCATTTAGTACTTAAAATTAAAAAAAAATAAAATTTTTAAACAAAAAGACAAAATCCATTCAATAAAGCAATTTTTACACAAATAAACTAACCACTCTCCTCTGTTGATCCATCATCACTTTCATCGCAAGGCTCGTTTTTAATTTTTCTAAGATATGCAGACTGTTGATTTGATTCTGGAAAAGAAAGAAAAACTAAAAAAAGCAAAGCAAAAAATAACAAATTAATTTTTAAAAATAATTATTTGAATATATTCTTCAAAATTTCAAACAAAAGGAACCCCAAAAATCTAAACTAAAATTATTAAATTTTCTCCAAATTAATTTGTTTTTAATTCCAAAACAAATCCACAGCAAAAAAACAAAGGGAAAAGCAAAATTCGTAAAATGCTTTCTTACTTTCTTCACTCCCCGCTTGCATTCCTCGATCACTCAATTGACAATTAAAGGGGGATGTTGCTGATAACCCTCCAGCACAATCTTTAGCTGCGTGTTGGGCACACTTTTTGTGGCAATTGTATTTGCAGTCTTGGAAAAATTAAAATATTTAATTTTTTCTTCAAAATTACCCCTGCATTGAAGTCCTTGACGTATTAACCCTTTTAAAAGTTTTTTACAATGTTGGCAGACTGTGGGACGTTTATAGCTGTGAACTTGGAATGTATGGGGAACCTGAAAATTAATTTTAAAGGAGACATTTGTTGGAGAAAGCAAATGTTCTGGACATTTTTTTATGATTTTAATTCCTAAATTGAACCAGTTCATGAATTTTTCTGAGAATTTATTCAAGAATCTAGACAAAAACTATTCTAGGATAAGCCCAGTATCGGGGTTGATTTCAAAACTCCGATTATTAAAATATTTACTTTAATTCTAGTTGCCTCTGCCACTTCCATCCATAAAGGTCTTCCACTCCAACTGCTGCTACGATCTTTGCGAGGCATTTGAAGAAACTAGACAATAAAAGAATAATTTAAAATTAATTTGATAGTTTCTAGTATTTTATTAAATTCCAACTTGCAGGTAAGTTTAAGAGATAAAATATACATTTTTTAGATATTTAAAGAATTCGAAAAAATCAAAATTAACTGTCGATAGAGTGAAAAAATGCATGAAACTCGTTAAAATCTTAAAATTAGGGTTTCTGATTTTTGGAACAATTTTTAAATTAAAATTCTTAAATATATATTTATTTTTCTATTTAACGGTAAAAAAATTTATTTTAATAAAAGTATAGAATCATGACGATGAAAACGAGGCTATATTTAGCCCTGTTGGGGACACGGAAAAAGAAAATGAACAAAAAATATTTCTAATTTTTTCTATTTTTAGAAAAAAAATTGTGGAGAAAAATATAAAAATATGTATAGTTTATGATAAAGTATAAAATACACAAAATATATATGTAGATAATTGTCTGTTTATATTTTATAATTAACACAAAGTTCAAAATAATTTTAAAAATTAAATATTTTTAAAGACATTTTTTTCAAAAAACAATTCGAGAAATCCTCAATTAATTATTAAAACCGAAATGTTTAAAAACTAAATAGGAGATTGACTAAAATGAAGTTTAAAAACAAAGACTTTTAGCTAGAAAAATAAAGACGGTGAAATCTCTTTATTTTCAATTCAATCCAAACTTACTAGAACATTTTAAGGTTTAGAATATAATCAGAATTGTTGAAGAAAATCTAGGGAAAATTAAAATGGGAAATTTTTCTTTAAAAAATTCCTTCCTTTAGTATGGGAAGTTTCTTTATTTAACTTTATTAAGCTAAAGTCGAACCAAAAGATTAGAAATAAATGCTTAAGAATTTTGCAAAAAAAAAGAGAATTTGTTTTTTGAGAATGTTAGAGATAGGAAATTAGCAAGCGTGATTTGTTAAAAAAGTAAAATTAAAAAGTTTGGAAGGATTTAAAATAAACTTGGAAAATTTTGTGATTCAAAATTTAATTGAAAAAAAAACTACAAACATTTCCTCCAATCGGATCTCCATCATCCAAAGACCGTTCACTAGTAACACAAATAGCTGGTTGTTGTTGTTGTTGTGTTCCTCCTCCCCCTCCCCCTCCTTTTTCTTCTTTTTGATTTTTAATATTTGAATTATTAGAATTTGTTGATATTGTTGATAAATTTTTAAAATTATTATTGCAAGTTGTACAAGGAAATATAGAAGAAACAACACTTGAAGTTTCTGTAAAAGATGCCGAGGAAAATGATGCTCTAGGTGGGAGAGTAGTAGAAAGGCCATTTAATGCTTGGGAAGAAATGTTGCCGCTACCAAAAATTGGTGACTAAAAATAATATTTTTTATTGAAAGTTTTTTTCCCTTTTTTACTTGAAATCCAACTGAATTTCGGGGTGACAAAGGTATAGCCGAAGGTCTACGTTGTCTACTACCGCTACAATTGTTTGGAATTTTGGAGGCACACCGCTTGTGATAGTTTAAACCGCAACCTGGAAATTAATTTGAATTTTATTTTCTTACATTTTTATGCTCTAAATTTTGATTATTCTTTTTAAAAATGTATTATTCTAATTATTACAAATCTTTTATTTAATATTTTCTTAAACAATTTCAGATCCAAAGTTTATTTTAAATATTCTGATTCCTTTCAAAATACCTTGACATTTCAATCCTTGTTTGACTAGTCCAAAAAGTAATTCCCCACAAAAATCACAGAATGTAGGTGTTTTGTATGAGTGAACATAAAGTGTATGGGGATGAACTACTAAACGCTCGTGTTGAGGACAAGCTATAAAAATTAGGAAAATTAAAACAAAATTTTTTGAAAATTAATTTTTGGTACTTAATTAATATCCCGCCCCCCACCCCTATTTGAGTCTCAGATTAATTCTCTTTTTTATTTTTCCTGCCTCGGAATGGTCAAACTGTAAATGTTAATTTTTGCTGTTAAACCGTTTCTTGCCGTTGCCGTCTATTTTTTCTTTCTCTTTACCGGTAATGTTTGAAGGGAAAAATGATTGACAGCAAAATAAGGAAAATTAATCTGAGACTCAAATAGGGGTGGGGGGCGGGATATTAATAAAGTACCTAATTTTTTAATTAATGATTTTTTTTGTCAAATATGAGAAATGATAGAATAGTAGATACAAAGAAATTTTTAAAATTATTTTAAAATATTAAAAGAATATTTTTTTAACAATTCCAATACAAAACTTACATCCAAGCACAAAAATATCCATTTTTGTAAAAATAAAATCAAAAATTGATGGGAATTTGTTTGATTAAATATTTTTTTATTTAAGTTGATCTAATGTTTGCATTAAAGATAAAAAAAAAATAAAAAAAAAAGTAAGAAAAGAAGTTAATCAAAAAAATGAGAAAAAACATTTGATAATTTTTTTTAAAAACAGAGTAAAAGGGTATAAAGTAAAAATCAGAATTATATGAAATTAAAGGTTATTCTGCGGAGAGTTTACTAATTTAGAAGTTAAATAAAGTGAAATCCTTATCAGAGAATAATTCCTTTTTTTATTTTAAAAAATATTTTTAATATTTATTTATTTTATAAATTAACGGCCAAGGAATCTGTGAGAAGAGATTGTGTGTGTGTGTTTGTGGTGGTATTTGTTTGCTATCCTTTTTGCTTTTTTAGTGGATTGCGGGAGAGAATGAGCCGTGAATAAAAATGAATGGTGTGGGAAAGAAAAAACTGAAAAAATGTGAGTAGGAAAGGAAAAAATAATGGCCAAGAAGAAGCGCAAAAATAAGGGAAAGGATATTATATAGCTAGAAAATATATATAAAATACTAAAAAGGTCTTTAAATAAATGAAAAGAGAAGTACGAGATTTTATAAAAAAATAATTTGCGGGGGAAGAAAAAGGATTGTGAGATGCTGCCAATATATCTTATGAACATTAAAAGGAGAGATGAAGGAAAATAAATAAATGAATTTGTGTTTTGTAAAAAAATAAAATAAATAATTTAATTATAATTTATATGTATGTATTAAATAGAAAATAGAAATTAAATTAATTTTTGTAAATTTTAATTTCCGGATTTATTTAATAAGGAGGGGGGGGGGGGAAGAAAGGAAGAGATTAATTTGTAATTTTTATAAATATTTTTGAATTTAATGAATTTTAATGAAAAATATAGTTAAAAGACTTAAAAATATATAAAATAATTTTAAAAAACTGAAAAAAAGTAACTTGGATTTTATAGAGAAACTCGTTTAAAAAGAATATTAAGAGAAACTCGTTTTTATTAAAATTAAAAATATTTTAATTTTAATGTTATTTATTGTTTATACCACTGTTTTAACAAAAATAAAATATTTGTTGAATTTTAAATTTATTTATTTAAACAGACAAAAGAAAATAAAAAAAGAATGAGGAAATTAAAATTAAAATGATTTTTGAACTTCAGAGAATGTCGAGGAGATAAAATTAATTAATAATTAGATAGAGAAGGGGATTTATTTAAAAAAAGATTTTATTTAAATTTAGAAGACCCTCTAAAATTAATTAAAAATATACTAAAGGTTTGGGAAAATATACAAGAAATACTCGAATAATTTTTTAAGAGTTTTAAACAAAAAAATTAGTTAATTAAAATCTTTTTATTAATTTAAATCCTTAAAAACCACGTGAGAGTATAAATTTAAAAAAATTCAAAAAAAGATGCTGTATTCTTGAGAGGTCTCTTTTTAATTTAAATGAGAGGGGGGATATATTTACTTTAAAATAAAATTTGAGTAAAAATTATTGATACAAGAGCCTAAAAATGAGTGAAATGTTGCCATGGAAATGAAGGGCAAAAAATAAATGAATGAAAGCATGCATGGATGGGTAAAGATGGGGAAGAAAAATATAATTTTATAATTTTGAAGGTAATAATGAAAAGAAGTAAATGACTGATGAATGATAAAAGAAAATTATAAAATAGGAAAAAATAATTTCTTTTACAATTTTATTTAAAAAAAGTCTGAATAAAAATAGGTAAATTGAAAAGTTTAGTTATAAAAAAATTAATTGGGTTTGATCATTTAAAATTTAAATGGATTTCTTTTATCTCTTTAATTAGCCAGATAGAAATAAATTATTTTAAATACCTAGATACTTTATATTTTAAAAAATTAAGAAGATTCTTATTTTGGAAAAGAAAAATGAATAAAAAATATTTCCTATTTAGCTAATAAATAATAAAAAAAATTTTTAATAAATAAAAATGTACTTATTTATTTATTTGAGGGAATTTTTTTTAAATTTATGAGTGAAAATAACACTTTTGTGTAAGGCATTAAAATCGATTCAAAATAAAAAATAGCACATGCATTATTTCAATGCGGGTAACCTGCCCTTTGATGGAATTGACTTTGAATGAATAAAAAAAGGTTAATAAAATAAAAAGTAAAAATAATAATTTGAAAAGAATAAAATTAAAAAATAATTAGAGGTTAATAAATTAGAAAAATTAAAATTATATTTTTAGTGAAAACCCACGACTAATAACAATTTCCAAAAGACATCCTTCACTTATTTCATCAGCTGATTGTATCAATTGAAGAATATTAACAGAACGAGGGTCATGTTTATAGAGAAGTATGTGATCGGCTAAACGATCACCTAAACGCTGTTTTGGATGCTGAAAATAAAAAAAATTAAGTTTGTTTTGCAAATATATTTTTAATTAGAGTTGAGAGGGATTCAAAAAAACCGGGATAATACCGACCGATCCCGCTCAACCAATAATTATTTTCTCTTACATGTTTATTAACAAAATCCACAGCTTCTTGTTTAAGTCTTCTTAAAGAAAGATTTTCTGGTTCAATGTGAAATGATTCGAGTACTAAACCAGACTGAAATTGGAGAGAAAATCCACTCATTTTTTTGTGTTGTTTTATTTTTTAATTGAAAAAATAAATTTTTGTAAAAATATTAGCCATTTATTCTTGAGAAAAATTTTCTTAATATTTAGGGATTAATATTAAAATTTAAATATTTAATAAAAAATGAGAAAAAAAACATTATTTAAAGAGATTATACTATAAGAATTTTTGTTAAAAATTCTTTTAAGGATTTTATTTAATAAAATATTTGTTGGAAAATTAAAATAATCAAAAGTCAATTTGTGGATATCCACATATATTGTCTATTTAGAAAAGAATAATTAACTCGGAAGTGTTTAAAAATAGATACGAAAAAATAAAATTACGTACGTAACCGCAAAGGTATCGATTCAGAAAGGAAAAGTTTTTTTTCTAAATAAAAATATAAAATTGTTTTTTAAAGGAAAAAAGTTTAAAATAAATAAACGTAAAATAATAAAATGAATGAATTTATTTATATAAATATGGATATATTTATTTGGTTAAAATTAATTAATGCCAAACTTTATTACAAAAATAGGCACACATATGTTTGTTTGTTTAGTAATTGCAGCCGTTGTTTGGCAAAGATATTCGGGCGCTGTTTTGCCTGGGCGTGTGCTTTTAATTTTTCAAATACCTAGAATAATAAGCAAAGACACTGTTAGCCAGTCTTAAAACAAAAATTTCTTAGGATTTTCTGTCCTGTCTTGGAGTCTTTAGTCTTGCTCCTAAGTTATGAAAAATTTTCGTTTGGATAGCTTTAACATTAATTTTAAACAAAATTTCATCCCATTTTTATAAATACACGCCTGTAATTACTGCGCCATAAAATAACATTCCCAGTCTTAATAAAAGTTTTTTGTTAGCTTTTATTTTCAGTTTTACGGCTTATCCTAAAGCATTAATTGGAATTTGTAATGGAAATGATATGTTAAGTAAATGGTGTGGATTTCTCCAGGCAATGTGTGTGTGAGTGTGTAAATGTCAGGTGAAAAATAGAAAAAACTAAATTTACACGGAAATATTTTGTAAGGGTTTTAGGGGATCCCTGAACGATTAACGCCCCCACAATTTAACGCTTTACTGGGATGCTAGTTAATATAATATGACTTGAAAACATGTAAATGTGCCGAACGAATGATTTCGAATTTTCTAATTAAAAATAATATGAAGATGAATTTCTTTTTAATTTAGAAAATATTTTACTAAAAATATTTTCTATTAAACTTTTATTTTATTAAAAGTGTTAAAATTAAAAAGAGAAAAAGTATTTTTGTTAAAAAATTTAAAAAGTTAGAGAGTTTAAATGGCTCCTATACAACTCATCTAATCGTTAACTCATCTATTCGTTAACTCATCTACACGGCCAAAAAGTGTTAACTCATCTAATCGTTAACTCATCTAATCCTTAACTCATCTACACGGCCAAAAAGGGTTAACTCATCTAATCGTTAACTCATCTAATCCTTAACTCATCTACACGGCCAAAAAGGGTCAACTCATCCAATCCTTCGGAACGAGACTATTGAGTACCGGCCGTTTGAGTCCATGGCCAGTAGAGTACCGCCGGTTGAGACTCAACTGGTCATGGACTCAACTGGTCATGGACTCAACTGGCCATGGACTCAACTGGTCATGGACTCAACTGGCCATGGACTCAACTGGTCATGGACTCAACTGGTCATGGACTCAACTGGCCATGGACTCAACTGGTCATGGACTCAACTGGCCATGGACTCAACTTACCAGAGACTCAAACGGCCAGAGACTCAGACGGCGAGAGACTCAAACGGCCGGAGACTCAGACGGCCAAAGACTCAAACGGCCGTTACTCAATAGTCTCGTTTCGAAGGATTGGATGAGTTGACCCTTTTTGGCCGTGTAGATGAGTTAAGGATTAGATGAGTTAACGATTAGATGAGTTAACCCTTTTTGGCCGTGTAGATGAGTTAACGATTAGATGAGTTAACGATTGGATGAGTTGACCCTTTTTGGCCGTGTAGATGAGTTAAAGAATTTTAGCCGTTTAGATGAGTTGAACGTTTTTGGCCGTGTAGATGAGTTAACGAGTAGATGAGTTAACCGGACACGGTTTAAATATAGGTAAGTGTTTTGTTTGTTTTTGCTCTTCCCTTTATTTATTTTCTCAATTTTTGTCACTTTTTTGACAGGTAAAAGGAGTTATTTTTAACAAATGAATTTATTTATTTAAAGTAAAAATATTTTAAAAATACTTTCTCACGTTGAAATTAGCGGGTTTAGTTATAATATTTAAATGATTTGGAATATTTTTACTTTAAAAGAAGGACACTCTTTAAAGAAATTTTACTTTTGCTAAATAAACTATTAACAGAACAATTTAATAAAAGTAAAAAAATTAAATGAATAATTGAAAATACTTATGGAAAAATGTTTTTTTTAAATTGTTAGTAAAGATAAAAATATTATTTAGAGATATAAGTTGGAATTGAAAAAGTAAAGCAGTCTTAACCTGGTAAGCGCTCAGATTTCATACTTGATCATCTTGAGCTTTCTGAGAGTCTCCTGAATTGCTGAATTAACGAATAAAATTCTGTTAAGAAAACAAAGAAATTTAAAATTTTAAATAAAAAATATTTAAAATTAATTAAAAAATGTAAAAGGAAAAATTCTTTTTTAAAAAAATAATAGATAATGCATTGATATTTTAAGGAAATTGAGAAAATGAGAAAAAGAAGAATTGAAACTTTGAGGCTTAAAAATGACAAAAACAAACAAAAAGGAGGTAAACAAAAGAAAAATAAAAATATATTTTAAATTTTCTCGTTTAAAAAGGTAAAAATGCTTAAAAAGTTTAAACAATACAAAAAAGAAAATGGCAAAAATAAAATTTAGCAATGATTGGAGTAGTAGTTAAAATAAACTTTTTACAAGTCGCAGACGGCTTTTTGAAAAGGATGAATGTCGAGATTCCCCTCTTGAAATACCCCGAAGGTTTAAATGTGGTAAATTTTAATTTTCTTAATCAAAGAATGTACAGACAACTAAGTTTAAATTAAAATAACAGTAAATCAGAATTTATTTTTAAATATCCAAAACTCGGAATTTTTGTTTGAAAAAAATTTATTTAAATATTATTTAGTAGTTTTTAGGAAAAAAATAATAAAAAAAGGAAAAGTAATATATGGGGATATGTGTATTGTCATCAAAAAGTCTTTTTCTCGTAAACTGCCATCAAGCACCTTTATTTAAATTGAAAAAAAGGAGGAGGAGGAAGGAATGGCACAAAAACGTTTCTTCACTCACAGTCTACTAGCTTTAAAAGAAATGGATGAGGGTAAAAAAAAGAGAAGGAAATGTGGCAAAAATGTACTAATGAAATTGATGGGGCTATCTCCCCCTTTCCTATTTTCAATTCTTTTTTATTTCCTTTTTCGATATTTATAGCAAGAAATTGACATAAAAGTCATTCACCTATACCTCTTTTTTTAAATTAAAAAAAAGTTTAGAAAAGGTTAATTTTATTAATAAAAACAGGACAATGCCTTTTAAATTTTAATTAAAGTTTGTTTAGGTTTTTAATTTTTTTGATTTTTACTTTTATTTTTACTTTCTGATTTTTAATTTGGGGTGTTATTTCATATTTTATGAATACAATTTAAAAACTCTTCAAAATCTCATTATTTTTTTGAAAAATTATTTCATACAAAAAATATTTTTGGTTTGCGCGTAGTGAGAGTTAAATACAAATAAGTAGATATTACTAGTAAATAATATTGCTGCTAACTTGGCAAAAATGGAATTACTGAGGGAAATGAATAAATGTTTATTTGAATAAAAAATGTTTTGAAAATAAATAGTAAATGTATTGGCAATACAAATATGTATAATTATAATAATTCAATAAATAAATAATAAACTTGTTATTTTTTCGATGAATATAAAATTATTTTTGTTTTTTACCAACCGTTTAATAAAATTAAATTTAATATTAAAAATAACAATAGAAAGCGAAAGTTAGAAAATAATTGGGTAAAGTGTTTACGGAGGGAAAATACCATCATATTTAGTCAAATTGTAGGCTAATTGAAAGGCAAAAATTTATAGGGTTTGAGAATAGAAAGACGGCTAATATTAATTTAAATTCGAAACTGAGCTGCTACTTACCTCCAATTTTATTTTTGAGGAAAAACGTGCATAACAGATTCTACAATATTTTTATAAAAAAATTAGAAAAAAGAAACACTTTGAATAAAAAGATATATTTTAAAAGCTCAAAATAATATAAAATGATGGAAGACTCAAAAAAATATATACATATATTATAGTATTAGATTATAAAGAAGATTAAGATAAAAAAAGAACTAATCTCCTTCACTCGTTTTCACTTTAGCTCATTTTTAATGTCTAAACTGACAGTCTTCTTTAAGAAAAATTATTTACGTAATTTGGGGCAAGTCTTGAGCTGTTTTGAATATTTGTTTGTTATTATTTTAGAGAAATGATAATCTTTTCTGATTTTGATGAAATATATTTAGTAAATAAATAAATATAAATATATTTTGAGAAATTTAAATAGAAATTTGTTTTAAACAAAAATAGAAAATAAAGTTGATAAATTATTAGAAAGGAGCTTTTACAAGAAAAATATATACACTCTATGTAAAAAATTCATTTTCGGTGTTAAGTTAATGAGTATTTTCGAAACGTGGTATCTCAATACACTTAACTAATCTGCCAACATTCCCAAAGTTTCATAAATTTTTTGTTAAATGCAAAATTTTGACTAATTTTTTAATAATTTTTCCTAAACAAGTGTTTCATAATTATTACACACTTTTTATTTTAACATAATTACTTTCTAACAGTTAATAAACCAAAAGAAATAGAATTTACTACTAGAAACCATTCTTTTAAAAAATTTCATAATTAAATAAATTATAATACAATAAATTTTGATTTTTTAAAAATTTATTTTTATTTTCAAAGCAATTCTGAAGAAGCAGTACATTTTTTAATATCTTGAATAATTGCTAAAAATTGTTTGAAAAGTTGTCGATTTTGACATCCTTGTGTTACTAAAACTTGCCAAACCTTAAATTATAAATTTACAAAAGAGACATTCTTAAATTTAATTGCCTCTTCTTCCCTCAAAGTAGCAAAAGTTAATTCATCAACTTCTTCAGCCCCAAAACATTGATTAAATTGTTCTTCTAAATTCCATTCATTTAATTTGGATTTAACCAATTCTTTAGATAATTATTTAAATTTAAATAAATTGTTTTTAAAAAACCTTTAGTTAAATGCTGGGGAATATAAAAAATATTTTGGTTGGAAGTTTGGGGGGTAGAACTGGGAGGATTTAAATGAGTAACAAACATTGAATGAGTGCCGGAATTTTCGTCTCTGGAACTTTCGTCTCCAAGACTTTTCGGAACTTTCGTCTCCAACATTTTTGGAATTTTCGTCTCCAGCGGAATATTCGTCACCAAGGAAATAAACGGAATTTTCGTCTCCGCAATTTTCGTCTCCGCTAGGAATTTTCGTCTCCAGAGAAAAACTTTCCCCGTTAACGGAAAACTATCCCCGTTGACAAAACACTATCCCCCGCTGACGGGCAACTTCCCCCGTTGACGGAACAACTTCCCCCGTTGCCGGAACAACATCCCCGTTGACAAAACACTATCCCCCGCTGACGGGCACTTCCCCCGTTGACGGAACAACTTCCCCCGTTGCCGGAACAACATCCCCGTCAGCGGGGGATAGTTTTCCGTTAACGGGGAAAGTTGTTCCGTCAACGGGGGATAGTGTTCCGGCAACGGGGGAAGTTGCCCGTCAACGGGGAAAGTTTTCCTCTGGAGACGAAAATTCCTAGCGGAGACGAAAATTGCGGAGACGAAAATTCCGTTTATTTCCTTGGTGACGAATATTCCGCTGGAGACGAAAATTCCGAAAATGTTGGAGACGAAAGTTCCGAAAAGTCTTGGAGACGAATGTTCCAGAGACGAAAATTCCGTACACCCATTGAATAACTACTTGATGAATTTCCCCTAAAAATAATTAAATAAAAATATAGATTAACTTAAAAACAAATTTGTTAACTTAACATTGTGTTTGATTATTATTAGAATTTAGGCTAGCACCAGACCCACTGTCAGAAGCACATCCTTGAGTGGAAGATTTTTGTTGGCTTAATCTGTGAGGAGCTTTTCTCATAATTCTTTGAGGGTCAATTTGTGGGGCTTTTTAATTTTAAATTTTAATTAATATTTATTATTTTTACAAACATTTTTGTGTTGCATTCCTCATAACTCTAGATGTTGTACTTTTAGAAGAATGTTTTCTAGAAGGTTCATATCGATGTTTCTAGATAGAATTAAATACCCAAAAATTATTTAAAAAATCACCGTTTTAAAAAGCTCCTTTTCCGCATTTCTTTGTGCAGCAGAATATAACCCATCAGAATCCTTTTCCTCGCCTTCCTCCACCAAAATGTTTCTGGCAATATTTTTTGAAGGTATTGGTACAAGAGAATGCCCTTTAGTCATCCAACTCTTTAAAATTAATTTTTTTAAATATTTTTTATTAAATTTACAATAGCCATTTGTCTAGCCATTAATACTAAATCGTCAGCTGAAGATTTTTTTGGGTCAGGGGGTCTGGCATCTCCCCTAAATTGAATATTTTCTTTTAGAATATTTTTAAATTTTCACCTTAAAATATGTTCAGCAAGCACAAATCGTGCCGGTCCTTCAATCAATTGATTAACATTTTCTGATGCTAATTTTAATATTGAAGTAGTTTGTTGGTTATTATTATTATTTATTCCCCCAAAATCTTCTTTAATTTGATTATTATTTAAATTGGTTTCTTCAGCACTTCCCAAACCCATTAAATTTTTTCCGATACTTTCAAGTGCTTTTCTAAGTCTAGCTGGAGTTATTGCCCCTCGATAGGAAGTTGTTGATGGGGTCTTTTAAATTTTATAAATTTATTTTTAAATAAATTTTGATGTAAAAGGTAAAAATATTTAACAATTTTAAAATTTAAATATACCTAATTTACTATTAAATTTTAATAATTAAAATTATTATTTGTTAATTTTACAAATCAAACATGTGCCAAGATTTAGAATTTCCCTTAGTTTTTCTTCTATTTTAAAAATTACTTTACTCAATTTATAAATTTAATTTCTAATCCTAAACGCCAAATTTATGGCCAACTAATTTCATTTATATTTCATTTCATTTACCTCTTGTTGATTTTTCAAAGCAGATTGACTACTTGCACTTCCTTCTCTTGGTCTAGTAATAATTCCAGTCATTTTACTTCCTCCTTTTTTCAACCAATGAATACATAATTGTTCCATACATTCACGATTAACTTCTGAATACATTGCTAAATCTAAGGCAGAGAAGGGCTCTTTTGTTGTTGAGAGAATACGTGGATTGGCGAGGTAGCGAAGTAAAAGTTGAACCATTTGACTTTCTCTTTATAAATTTTTTTTAATTTTTTAAAAAGTAATTAAATGTTTTTGGAATGTTTTAGAATGTCGTTTTATAAAGGAACTGGGCTGAGGGATAACTCTGATGTGGCCATCATATTATTATTCAAGGGGAAAATTAGCAAAGATGTTCCCTCAAGTGTATGTAATAAATAATTTTAACAATTCCAACCTCACAAAATTTTTTTAAAATTTATTTAATAAATTAAAAAAATTAATTACGCTGCAACGACTGCAAACATCAGTGCTGTCTTTAAATAATATTTTTATAAAAAATGTATTAATATAAAATAAAATACCATTCCTAAAACATTTTCTTGTGCATCAACAATTCCTCCTTTTCCAACTTTTAGAAGAATTTCTGCCTTTAAATTAATAAATTAAATAGTAAATAATTTTATCTATTTCAAAAAATTTTATAAAAAATATTTAAAAAATAATTAATTAAATAATTAAATAATTAAAAATAATTAATTTATATTGAAATAAAATCGCTGACAAAAATATCGGAAAATTAATACTATTTTTATGATTCTCTAGAGAAAATATATTTCAATATAAATCCCCCCTCCCAATTATTACACAGAGTAATTGTCCAGAAACAGCTGCATACATTAAAGGAGTTAATCCATATTGTAAACAATTTGGGACTTCTCCATCTTTAATTAATTTAGTTAATTCTTGTTCATTTCCATTCTGAATAATTATTCTAATATCAACTTAAAATTAATTTAAATCTAAATTTAAATTTAAAGAAAACTCTTTTTGGGCGGTTCTTGTAATGTATTTTCTGTATAATTAAGTCTCATTAAAATTTCAGGTAATCTCAATAATTGGCCCATTCTAATAACATCTAATCCATCCAAACGTTTTATTTGATGCCAAATACGAGCATTTTTAAAAATTTAATAATAAAAAAATTTTTTTTAAATAAATTACTGTTGTTTAAGAAAACCACATATTTGAATGTCCATCTCAAAAAAGGCAACCTAAATAAATATTTAATTAAAAATTTAAAAATGAATTTAAAAACCATGTAAGGGGTTGGCGCTATTTGATGTAATCGAGCACTAGGTTTAGGATCTACAGCCACATTTAAACTTTTTAAAGTTCGAACAACGGCTAAATGACGTCCAGCACAGGCTAATGCCATAGCTGACACACCAAGACCGCTAACAAATTTTTAAATAAAAATTAAAAAAGGGGAAAGAATATTTTTCTTTTAACCTCAAGGAATGTGCATTAGCTCCATAATTAGCTAGTAGAGTTACAATATCCTGGTGACCTTCTCGACAGGCGTGAAGGAAAGGGGTCTTTAAAAATAGATATAAATTAATTAAAAATTGTTGTAACTTTCATTTAAAAAATAAATATTCACCATTCCTGCATAATTAGCTCTTTCCAAACTTGCACCTTCTTTTATCAAGAATTCAACCTAATATTCAAAATAATCAAATAATTAATTAATAAATAATTAACAAGTCTTCGATGTCCTTTGGCTGCAGCAATTTGTAGAGCTTTTAAAATAATTTTAATTAATTTAATTTAGGTTATTAAGAAAAAATACCGGTAACTCCATCATCATCTTCCTCGTCAGGATCAATTCCCCCATTTAAATATTTGGCAACTTCATTCAGATTTCCACGTTTACAACTTTCCAACATATTCATTTTGTCTCGTTCTGATTCCTCAAACCAATCTGCACCTTTTTTTCCACTCATTTTTTAAAAATTTTTTTTAAATAAAAAGAAATATTATTTTTTAATTAGTCAATAATATTTTTAATTAAATAAATAAATGTATACTACGTATATATTGATCAGCCATTAAAATGATTTATTTATTAATTATTTTATCGATGATAGGCGAATTCTATTAATTGAATAATTCTTAAAATATTAAATGAAGGAGGTTTAGAAAAAAATTAGTATTGTTAGTAAAAGGTCATAAAAGAAAAAAATTTAGAGATTAAAATTAAATTTAAATGAATAGATTTTTCTTATACGTAGAACCCAATTATTTTAAATTAAAAAAACTTTACTTAATTAATATTTATTCCAATATTAGATAATTTAATATATAAATTATATTATTTAAATTTATTTGCCCAAAAAATATTATTTAATTTTACTTTATAAAAGTTTCATTTAATTAATTATTTCATCCCATTTATTTTCTCTTTTTTATTTTCATTTACTCATATTTGTGGAGTAACAACTTCAGTAGTTGTAGAAAGAGCTTGCAAAGTTACTCGATGCTTGTTATGATGATGTCGATGACTTTTGTGGTGTCCATGACGAGGGCGGTTTGTCGAAGGCAAAGTTTTGTCAGTTAACTAGTATTTAATTATTTTTCATTTACCCTTCAAGAATGTGGAAGTCAAAAATAAGACAATTTAAATAATTATAAGAAATACCAAATTTGTGGTATTTTTCCTAATTTATATGAGAATAAATAAATTTGGATAAAGAAGAAAAATTATTTTGTCTAAAAATAATTAGTTAATTTCTTTATAATTTATTAAATAATATACCTCATTTTCTTGTAATAAACGGCCTTCAATCTCAACGTAAAGCAATTGAAAAACAAAAATTGACAAAATAATTTTAGCTAGCATCTTTTAGAATTTAAAATATTTATTTTTAATTTTAACTGATTCTCTCCTATTCTCTCGTGAGTATTTATTTACTTAAAAAGAATATAAAAAACTGTTGTTTAAATAAATTGCCAAAATTTTAGAAAAAAATTATTTTTAGAAATTTTTAAATTTAAATAAATAAAAATATTTATTTTAAAATAATATTTAGCAAAAATTTCTAAATATCTCCCCAAAATATATTTAAAAATTCATTTAAAATTCACATGTTTTTAATTTTTTTATAGTTTATATTTTTTTAAATATTTTTTTTTCTAAAATTAAATTTTATTTTTAGAATATGATAAAATTAATTTTTTAATTTTATCTAAAATTCAAATCGATATTAATTTTTGTTTAGAAATTTGGAAATTAAGCCCTAACAATTAATTGTCCAAAAAATTTTTCTAAATTAAATACTTCTAAAAATAAACATTCTTTATTCTCTATCAATTAATTATTTAAATAAATTTTTAACGTAAAAATTAGGAACAGCAGACACTTTGTATTTTGTGAGTTTTTATGTCCAATTTTTAATTCATAGACAATACCGACTAATTTTAGAAGAAATTTTCAGATTAATGAAAATATAAAATAAAATAAAAATACAAATATTTTTATTTAAAATTTTTTAAAAGAAGATTTGCCAAAGAACTGGTTCAAAACTTTTTTTCTAATTAATTCAAAAATAATTAATTGAAAGTTTTGTTAAATCAAATTGTTTTATTAAAAAAGAAAAATGCCGAAAAAATATTTTTCAAGAAAAACCAGATGATATTTAGATTTTGTTTTGTTAAAAACCCCTTTAATTACAAAATTATTGGTCTTTTATAATTCAAAGTTTTATTTTTTTGTTTTTCTTTATTTACATAAAGAGTTGACATTTATATCAATAGGTATATCAACAATTTATTTAAAGATTGTTTTTTATTATTAATTTAGAAATGCCAAGCAAATCTGTGTATGTAAAGAATAAAAATTAATTTTTATTAATTATCCAAAAAAAGCAAATTTTTCACACAAAATTTAAAAAAATACATAAATATATGTACAATTGTTTTAAAAATACAGCGATTAAAAAAAGAAAATTTTAAATAAATAAATTTTATTCAGACCAAAGGGTATACAATATACCACTAAAATGGTTGAGTGTGTACAAATAAATGTGGAATTTGAATTATAAAGAGTTTTAGACATTTCAAGTAAATAAATAGGCACAAGTAGCTAAGTTAATTTAGGAGATATTTTAACTTTTTTTGCTTAAAAATGTTTTTTTAAATTAACTTTTGCTTAAAAAGAGAAATTGTAAAAAAAGTATGTCAACTAAGAAAAAGGAAAAAAATATGAATGTATTGATAAAAAAATAAATTAGGTATTGAAAAAAAATATATGAACTAACTAAAAAATTAATGTTTTGACAAATATATATTTGGGGGTGGGGGGTTTGGAAAAGGCGTGAATTAAAAAAAACTGATGAGTGAAGAAAAGGTTAAAACGCTCATTTTGCTAACTGAAAAAGTAAATAAGTTAAGGGCAATATACCCATCATTTTAGTCAAATTATGGGATTAATTCAGGGATTCTTCAGTGTTTAGGTTTGAAATTTGGTTTGTTGAATTTAAGTTAGTATTTTTAATTTTAACAGAATTTGCGGTAGGCTATGTTTTAAATTAGTTTTGAAACTAGTTAATGTATGACCTATGAATATATTTCTTGGGATTAGATTCCAAATATTTACTGTCCGGTTAATGAAAGAATTGATTGTTTTGGCATTTTTATTTGAGACCTGAATGATAAAATCATGCTTTCTACTTGGACGTGTATTTAATGTGAATAGCTCTTCGGGGATTAAACTGGTATGGTTAAATAGTATCTTATACAATGTTATCACGTCTATATAGTACCTTCTGAATTGTAGGGTTTCGAGTTGAAATAATTTTAGTCTGTCAGTGTATTTAAGATTTTTTCTTCTGCATTTCAAAAGGGCTGACTTAGTAAAGAATTTTTGCACCCTTTCTAAATCTTTATTTAATTCTTTAGACATTGGATTCCATATAGGGGACCCGTATTCTAGTGTAGGGAGAATATATGTTTTAAAAAGATTACCCCATATTTTAGGATCGGATGTATGTATATTTCGTAGTATTTGATGGGATCTTAAAAATCCAAGTTTGCATATGTTTTTTATATGCTTTTTAAATGTTAATTTATTGTCTATGTGTATGCCTAGATCTTTTATTACTTCGACATGTTGTAACTCATTGTGTAGGATATTGTATGGTATTTTTGGATTTTTATTACCTAGATTGAATATAAAAGATTTATTAAGTGATATATTTAAACCCGAATCTATTGCCCATGAGTTAAGGATATCGATCTTTTCCTGCATGATAGTGTTTTGTGTGTTGTAAATATGGGTGATTTTAATGTCATCGGCATATAGCGATGCATATATATTTTCTCCTAATTTTGATGGGAGATCATTTATATATATTGTAAACAATAAAGGTGCTAAAATTGATCCCTGGGGAACTCCTGATAATGTTGGAAATATGCTTGACTCTTCGTTATTTATTCGCACAGCAAAAGTACGGTTTGTAAGAAAATTGCTTATCCATCTGTGTATTTTACCTCTGATTCCGTATGCATATAGTTTGTTTAGTAGGTGTTGTGTGGGAACCTTATCGAATGCTTTTTGTAAGTCGATGTATATTACATCTATATTTTTTTTATGAAGTAGGCCCTCGTACCATTTGTTAAGAGTGAGTATTAGTTGTGTTATCGTGGAACGTTTGGGTAGGAAACCGAATTGATTTTTAGATAGTAAATCGTTCTCGAGTAGGAATTTCATCACTTCTGAATAGATTATTTTTTCAAAAATTCTACAAGTAGTAGAGGTGAGTGATATAGGTCGATAATTTTTAAGGTCTGATCTGTTTCCATTTTTGAATATAGGTATAATTGTTGAGTGTTTCCATTTTTCTGGGATTTCTCCAGTATCTAAAGAAATACGGAAGATTTCACATAAGTTAGGAGCAACTATGTCATGAAGATTTTTAAATATTTTATAAGGGATATCATCTTGCGTGGATGAATTTTTGTTAGGTAGTGCTTTAAGTGTGTTGGCAATGGTTATTATGTCAAAATCTATATCATCTAGTGTGTTTTTACAGGCTGTAGTGAATGTTAGTTTTTGATAGTTATTGGGTATGTTTTTGAATAATTCAGAAAAATAGGTGGCAAAAGCTTCACATTTTTTTGAATCTTCTATTATGTATTCATTGTTACTGATTAATACTGGGATAGTTTGCTTAGATTTTATGGATGTTTTTATTTGTTTATTTATCAAATCTTTATTATTGGAAATTCTAGACATTGATTTATTTAAATAATTTCTGATTAAGTATTTAATTTTATTCGACAGTTTATTGTATTCGACTCTTAGTGTGGGGTTTTGTTTAAGTTGCTTGAAAAGTTTATATTTATCTCTAATTGCTTTTTGTATATAGACAGGGTATTTGAGGCCTAATTGGGATTTGTTGTGCGAGACAGGAATATTTTCTTCAATTATTGATTTAACAAGTTTGTAAAAGTTCTCAAATTTGGTGCTAACAGAGTTAGTTATGTTTGGGATTATTTCCATTAGGTAAAAGTTATAAGCTAAAATTGGTTTTATTTTGTTAATGTTGGCTTTATTAAAAGCACGATAAGTGTTGTTTTGTGTCGGTTCTTTTGTGATATTAATCTCAAAGTCTATGCGAAAATGGTCAGAAGTTGAAAATCCATCTTTAATTTGGATATTATCTACTAATTCCTTTTGGTTGGTTATGATTAAGTCAAGAATAGAGCCCGAAATGTGTGTTGGATCTTTAATAAGCTGATTAAATCCAAAGTTAGTTGTAAAATCTAAAAGTAATTCGTCCATGGCAACTGAACAGGAATGTGAGGTCCAATTGATTTTAGGTTTGTTTAGATCGCCACAAATGATAGTGTTAGGAGTATAGTATTTTGTGAGTGTTTTTATTAATTTTTCGTTAGAGTTTTTTGTTAAATTTGGCGGAAAGTATATTAATATAAGGCGTGTGTTTGGGTAACCTTTTTTGATAATGTCTATAATGATTAGTTCGTAACCAAATTGTGTTTGGGTATAAACTTCTGCCGCTTTTATTGGATTTAGTGTTAAAATAGCTACCCCTCCTCCCTTTTTTTTCTTTAAAGAGGATCGGTTACAAATAAAAACAGAGTATTTTCCTTTAACATTTAATTCATTAGAAAGCATGATATTATCCTGTATCCAAGTTTCGGTGACACAAATTATGTCAAATTGATTAAGTGATATAAAATTTTTAAATTCAGTAATTTTGTTAATGAGTGATCTGCTATTAATTAGGACCCCTTTAAGTTTATTATGAGTTTGTTTAACCTTATTATAAGTATTAGCATTTGTTCTGTTATAATTAAAAATACTAGTTATTTTGAAATTCTGTTGTGTTTTTGGTAAGTATTGTTGAATCCCTAAATTATCCTATGGGAGAGATTTACGGAAATTGGGAATATTTTCGCGAAGTATAATTGTGTTTGCGTAAATGATCCAATCACCTTTATCTTCTAACCTTTTTTGTGTACATTGAGCCTGCAATTTTTTACGATTGGTGCGTTCTTCCAATGTCAAAGATTCTCTGATGCCCAGATTACGGAATATTGGCGATTGCTTAATGTTGTTGCGATGTTTGGACCAATTTCGAAGAGTGGTTGTCTGAAAATAGGAGGACGGAAAAACAACTTTTAAAAGAGGTGGTACACCTTTACGGGTTGGGAGATCCTTGCCTAATCTATATACAGATTGTGGACAAATCTCGATACCCAACTTATCGAGAATACAATTAACATTTTGACGATCTTCATTTGCTCTTGCTGAGGGTAATGTTTGAGTAGAGGAGGGGAGTCCCGAAATTACAACAGACCGCTTCCTTTCTTTTTCAGCAATAGAATTATCGATATGTTGCTGGGAAAGTTGTTGGTGTTGGGTCATATCAGAGATTATACAACCGGCAGTTTTGAGGAGATTATTGAGTTGTGAAATTATAGTTTTGGCCGAATCTGATATTGTGGGGTCTTCCTGAATAGGATCTAGGTTTAAATTAGCAATTTGATCCAGAAATTGTTGTCTTTTTGCTGGGTGTTCGGGAGAATAGGTTGTTAATGGACGTTTAATTGGAGTTTTGTTGGAATTAGTGGTAGAATTTGAATTATAAAGAGTTTTAGACATTTCAAGTAAATAAATAGGCACAAGTAGCTAAGTTAATTTAGGAGAGCATCTTTTAGAATTTAAAATATTTATTTTTAATTTTAACTGATTCTCTCCTATTCTCTCGTGAGTATTTATTTACTTAAAAAGAATATAAAAAACTGTTGTTTAAATAAATTGCCAAAATTTTAGAAAAAAATTATTTTTAGAAATTTTTAAATTTAAATAAATAAAAATATTTATTTTAAAATAATATTTAGCAAAAATTTCTAAATATCTCCCCAAAATATATTTAAAAATTCATTTAAAATTCACATGTTTTTAATTTTTTTATAGTTTATATTTTTTTAAATATTTTTTTTTCTAAAATTAAATTTTATTTTTAGAATATGATAAAATTAATTTTTTAATTTTATCTAAAATTCAAATCGATATTAATTTTTGTTTAGAAATTTGGAAATTAAGCCCTAACAATTAATTGTCCAAAAAATTTTTCTAAATTAAATACTTCTAAAAATAAACATTCTTTATTCTCTATCAATTAATTATTTAAATAAATTTTTAACGTAAAAATTAGGAACAGCAGACACTTTGTATTTTGTGAGTTTTTATGTCCAATTTTTAATTCATAGACAATACCGACTAATTTTAGAAGAAATTTTCAGATTAATGAAAATATAAAATAAAATAAAAATACAAATATTTTTATTTAAAATTTTTTAAAAGAAGATTTGCCAAAGAACTGGTTCAAAACTTTTTTTCTAATTAATTCAAAAATAATTAATTGAAAGTTTTGTTAAATCAAATTGTTTTATTAAAAAAGAAAAATGCCGAAAAAATATTTTTCAAGAAAAACCAGATGATATTTAGATTTTGTTTTGTTAAAAACCCCTTTAATTACAAAATTATTGGTCTTTTATAATTCAAAGTTTTATTTTTTTGTTTTTCTTTATTTACATAAAGAGTTGACATTTATATCAATAGGTATATCAACAATTTATTTAAAGATTGTTTTTTATTATTAATTTAGAAATGCCAAGCAAATCTGTGTATGTAAAGAATAAAAATTAATTTTTATTAATTAAAATATATTTTTTATTTTTTATGAAATTAATTGAAAGAATATTTAAAAACCAAATTTGTTTAAACTCGAAACTCTTTAAATCAACACTTGGTATGTCCCAAACCTTTACAGACAAAAAAATTTTTTTATGAAATAAACATCTGCTTTAAATATAATATAAAATATTCTCATTTTATGTTAAATAAATAATTAAAATCTTTAGAAAAAATTGTTTGGTATTTAAATTTTTATAATATTTTATTTTAATTTATTTAAAAATAATTAAGCGTTTAATTTTTTACATTTAAAACCTTTATAAGATTTTTTGAGGAAAATTAAATTAAATAATATTTTAATTTATAATTTATTTTTTAAGTCTTTTATATCTCTATTAAAGTATATTTATTTTGTGTTTTTGTGTTAATTATAATTTCTATTTATATCTTTTATCTGACTTTTTTTGCAATTTTTTTAATACTACAAATGTTTTTTAAAAAATTTAAAATTTATTTCATTTCCTTATTCTCACGTTCTAATTAATTTAGACAAAAAATTACTTTTTTTTCACTCTTTTAAGAATATCTAATACCTACATATATTTAGAATTATAAATTTTATTTTTAAATTTATTTTTAGAAATTTAAATCAAAATTTAAAATTATGGAAGCCTCAATAAATCAAACAAATATTTTATTAGATAATAATACTTTTCCAAATCATATGGTAAATAATTAAAATTAAAAATAAATCAATATTGAAGTAAAAAAGATTCTTATTGGATTTCCTTGAAGTAGGAGGCTTCAAAAATTTAAATTCTTCAAAAATTTTTTGGTAATCCAAGGAGAATTTTAAAATTAAATTAACAAACTAATTACTTTAAATTTTATTTATTTTTCTAAATTATTTTCAATTTTAGTTATATAAAAAATATAAGGATTCTGGTATAAGTTCTGCACTAATTTTGCCTGCAGTAATGATGAACGTTGCTGGAATACCTGGAATTGCTGCAAATTTGCTTTTAATTTTTGTAACAATTCAAAACGAGTAAATAATAATATTAAAAATATTTTAATTAAAAGAATTAATTTTTAAGTAAATTGAGAGGGGCAGCTAATTATTTATTGGCTTTAACTGCTTTCTTTGAAATTCTCCATCAATCATCACATTTCTTATTTTTGTTTATAACAGTTAGTGGCATCAATTTCATTAATTATTCTACAGCTTTACAATTCCAATTACATTCAATTTTTGGCGTGACAGCAGCACAGACATCTATGGCTTCAACAGCTGCCGACAGACTTTTATCTGTTCTGTTCCCATTAAAATACAATAAAATAAATATTCGTCTTTACCTCTCAATCCACACAATTTTGGCTTTTTCTAGTGGAATTTGGATGTCAATAAATGCTATTAATTTATCAAATAAATACCCAACACTTCCCGTTACTGGATATATTTCTGATTTGTTAGTTCTAGATATGGAAATAATGTTCCAATTTATTATGCTTCTATGCGGAATTAATGCTCTATTATATTTATTTGTTTGGATTGTTGTACGTTGGTTCCATTCAGGTAGAAAAAAATAAAATATTTTCTTTAATTTTTATTAAATTTTTAGCAAACAATGATGGAGGTCTTTCAACAGACACTCAATCACGTCTTCTTAAATCACTAATTTTAATTGTCTCTATCGTTATTGGTGGTTATGTAATTAACAGTATTTGTCGAATGATTATTAATCATTTTTTTAATTTAAATGATATACAAGTAAAAGAAAATTTTGTAAAAATAACTTTAAAAATTTTTTTAGATTTGGTCAGTTAATGTGTTTGGAGGAATTCTCTTAAATATTGGGGCGGTAAATGTCCGGTTGGTGTCCTACATGTCCGCAAAGAGAATGCGCATTTTTCCTTCCTTTTCTTGCATTTTTTTCTGCAAGGAGTGGCGCCCATTTTTCTCTTATGTATGGTAGGTCTTGGCACGTGGAAGGAAAGGAAAAATAATTAGAATTACTAAGTAGAAAACTAATGATAAATATAGAAAATTTAGATAAAGAGACTGAACTATGTTTATTTAGTTCACTATTACCGGTTCTCTTTTACTGAGGATTTCAAATAATTCTAATAGTCCAAATATATTTTATTCAATTAAGTTTATAAAATTGGTATTGGTTAGGTATAGGTAAAGTTAAAGTCAAAAGTGTTAATTGAGGTGCATTTGGTTTTCTTTAAATAGGGTTGTGCATGTGAATAAAAGAGGTACAATAGTCGGGATTTATTTACTATATTAAAGAGTATACAAATATATGTTGGTTGGGAAATTACTTTAAGATAAGAGTTTATGTCGGGAAACCAATCGAGAATGGCATAGACAAATATATATTGGGAGAATATTTAAATTAAAGATAAGAGTGTTTGTCGGGAGTGTGTTTATCAAGAATACTCCATTCCTTCCCTCTTAAAGAAAGTATCAATGAGGCCCTGCGCGAAAACGTCTACCGCGACCACGATTGCATTGGTGACAGCTACAGTGTTCTTGTTGTCGACGGTCTTGACGCGCAGCATAGAAATAACGTGATCGCTCACGGTTTGAACCGTGGTTGTTAAAGTAAGCATTACGATTTCCGCGTCGACCACGACGACGACCACGCTCATTATGATTATTTGAACCGTCATTTTGAATTTGACCATTTTGAATTTGTGGATTAACAGGACCATTTTCAATCTTAAGTTTTGTGGGTATTTCCCTGTTTTTATTTTCTCCCAAACTTACTTCTATCTCCTCATTTGGTTCAGGAGTAGACCCAAGAGATAACTCTTCAAAATTTTTATTGGTCACGGTCTCGTCAAGTTTTTCCGCGATGCGGACAATACTAACGGTTTGATCTTCAACTTTGGCCTCAATGCCTTTAAGATTTTCTCTCACTATTTTTTCCACATTGGTCAATATGGAGTCATGTATTTTTGGGAGAAGCTGTTGAATTAAATTAATTGTTTGCTCGTGGCATTCTTTAACGGTATCCGTTAAGTACTTCTTTTTCTCCACAATAGGTGGGTTAGCATTTGTCACAATAGGTGGGTTAGCATTTGTCACTATGCCTTCCATAATCTCCGACATTTTAAATAAAAATAGCTAAAAAATTATCTGAAAATAAATTTAAAAACAGTCTCAAAATTTTGGGTAAATAAAATTTAAATAGAAGGGTTAAGGTTAAATAGATTGGGATATATACAAAGGTAAGTAAGAATAATTGCCTAGTCCTAATCAAAGTGTGTATATGGAAGTCGTTCTCTGCTGCTCTTTCGGCGCTGTTTTATATGGTCATGGTGTATTTGTTTTTCCTCCCCCTCGACTTCAACTGAACACATCCTATCACCTAATAGTTGCGTAATCACTCCTGGCGACCAAGCATTTTTGATGTAGACCCAGACTAAGTCTCCTGGTGTGAAGGGTGCTGGAATTTTCCTAGATAAATGTTGGCGTTGTTTGTTTTGTAGAGTTGTTTGTTTAAGGCGCAACTTATCAATTTGAGTGCGCATCTCCCTTTTAAACATTAAGGCTGAGGGGGACTCTCCAATGTGGGGTAAGGGCGAAGCCCGATATTCTTTTAGCAATATTTGTATTGCTTTTTTCATATCATGTTTTTCCTCCAATAATTTTTTCATTCCCCTTTTAAATGTTTGCACTGCTTTTTCAGCAATTCCGTTTGATGAGGGATGGTAGATAGGGCTTTTCACATGACTTATGCCCTCCTCAAATAAAAATTGTTCTATTTCAACTGAACAGAATTGGGGCCCGTTATCAGTAACAATACTTACGGGGTTGCCAAACATTGAGAATATATTTGTTAGGGCGTTTATTATAACATGTGAATTAGTGGAGGTTAATTGTGTGACCCAAATATATTTTGTATAAACGTCTACAACTATTAAAAAGTTTGTATTCCAGATAGGACCTGCCAAGTCGGCGTGTAAACGTTCCATTGGTAATTTAGCCTGCGGCCATTTATGTTTAGGGTCTAATTTTGGTGGTTTATGTGCATTTGTTTGGCAGATTTGGCACGCACTTATATATAATTCTACGTCTTTGCCAAAGTTTGGCCACCACACGAATTTTCTCCCTCTACATTTGGTTCGCTCAATCCCAAAATGAGCTTTATGTAATAGTTTTAATAATTGTTGGCGAAGACTTGAGGGAATTAATATTTGAGAAATACCTTTTATAATTACATTACCTTCAATATAAAGTTCATTTCTTAATTTATAAATTATTTCAAATTCTTCACTTTCTTCTTTTCCTACTTCAAGCCAATTTTCTTTAATGTTATATTCCAATAATATAACAATAATTTGAACCAAATAGATTTTACCAAATATCCAAAATTATTAAATATTTTATTCCAAGGTTTAAAAAATACAAAGTTTTAATATTAAAGGGGAATTTAAGGAAGGGTGAAGAAGTTAAAAATAAAGGATATAAATCAGCTTAAATAGGGCCAAAAATGATACATTTTTTAGAGGGAAAAGATAAAAATTGAGGAGATGATTGGACAAAAATATGTGAACATAAATATTTTAAAAATATAAAAACAAAGATGATTAATAGAAAAGTTTAAAAATAAATATTAAATATCTTTATAAAAGTTGCGTTTCGGCGCAACACTCCGCGCACAAAAAATGTTGACTAGTCTGAAGAGTAAAAATCGTGTTAGGCAGGGAAGAAAGCAGTAGCCGATAAGGACAAAAGAAAACAACGCTAATAATAAAATTAGGAGATAGCGTGGAAAAAATAAAAATTTAAGTAGATGCGTTAAATCAATGTCCATTAAGCTTTGCATTTTATTGCTATGTTTCTGTGCCCATTTTGTTTCGATTGTTTCTTCTGGGTGATTTAATATTCCTTTAAGTTCAAATTTTGAATATGAAGAACCACAAAAAATTTCGCATGTTTCGTCAATTTGTGAGTGGCTCAAATGTACTGAAAGATTTCTAGTTTCTCCTTTAGGCACACAGGTCGTAAATGTAGTAAGAGAAGGACAAACAATATTTCCTAAGGAGTTTCCAAAATCAGTTTTACAAGTTAGCTCTAGCTTTGCGCCGCGATTACATTTGTAGCATCCGATTAATTTAACATTTGTTACTTTACATTTATTTGCGAGAATTTCTGTTTTGAGTGTTAAGCCTTTAATTTGTGTTTGGATTTGAGCGGCGGAAAAATCGGGCGAGACTTTAATCGTGCCTTGGTCCACGTCAAGTAGTATACCGTTATGCTCAAATGGCAATGTTAAATCTCTTTTAAAAAGCTGTCTAGTTTCTAACAATTCATAACACAGACAAGCTACATTATGGTCGGCCGAGTTACAATCACACGATAGTGGATCTAATTTACATTCATTAAATTTAATGGCTGCCGCTTTTGAGGAACATCTAAAACTTCTCAATTTATCTTCACTTTCCGATTCAAGAATTGCAACTCTATTTTCATCCGACACGAAAAGTTGATTGAGTATAGGAAGAGGAGCAATTGTCATGCTTGTGGCGGTTATTCGAAGATCGTTCCATTCTGTCGTAAATCCGGGTTTTAGCGAAATTAATTTTTCTTGTTTATCATTTTGAGTTTCAATTATAATTTTTACATCCAATTCAAGATCCCATTTCGGACATCTAAATATTTCGAGTATTTTAGGGTCATTCGTTGGTACTGCAGAAAAGCGATAAAATAAACAAGCAGGGTCGACATAAAAACAACCATTGGCCCAACCGCCTTCTGTTTCCATGCATCTTGTGATGCCTGGGAATTTTTGATTTTCCATGTTTAATTCAATAATCGTATCGTTCATTTTAATGGAACTACATTTTTGATTAACACAGCTTCCTGTATGAGCACACCTCCACTCCGAAATTACTTGTATATCGTAGGAGCGTGAAAAGTATTTTATTGTTTTAACACAGGATGCTTTTAAGCGGTGTAAAATAAATTTCATGGATCCTACAAAATTGTCTTGGTAATCTTGCAATATTATATCTATTTCTTGGTCCGTTGGATTAAAACTTATCTCAAGAGTTTTTTCAAAGAGGCAGTTTCTAACCCCTGTTTTGTCTAGTATGCATTTTTCTTCATCGGCTGTGATAGTTGTAAGACACACAGCTCTTTGTAGTGAGCTAACAAAAAGAATTATTGCAATCGTGACTTTCATTGGTAATCGATTTTTTCTATTATTTTTTAGAATTTTAATTTTTTCTATTTTTTCCCTATTCTCCGTTTTTGGCTTTTTACAACATTTTATGAGAAATCTAATTAAGGACCATTTTCTTTTTAATATCCAAATAATAACAGAAATTATTGCGATTGTAATTTTACCAACAAAGTAAATTATATTAGAAAATAAATACACTGCAATGGCTACTAAAATCATGGCTAGTTCGGGGTTGCATTTTGGGTTGGTTAATCGTTCAATACATAAACTACATTTTATTAGTCCACACATATTTAATGGTTGGCATTTAATCCCTTTTTCTTTTATATTTTGACCGTTATTAAAGAATTTAATTGTTGCTTCAAACCCATTTATTAAGTCTTCCTTAGGTAATGTAATTTCTTGTGTAGTGTCGGGAAAAGGTATATAAATGCATTTTTTCAGACAAATTTCTATTCCATTTATTTCTTTATTTATTTTTATGGATAGTCCTTCTTTGGCGCACTCTATCTCGCATTCCTTACATCCTTTTTCATTTTCGTTTTTAAAATCGTATACTCTTTTTGAAATTTCACCCCACGCTTTAATGACGACTTTACCGTGATTTGAAACAAAATATGCCACTTCATTTTTCGAATAAAAACAAAATTTTTTCCCATTTTCAGAACATGCGTGTTTAGAACAGTATAGAGGTGATCCAGTTGTTTCCCCAACCCCAAAACAAATAAACTCGTCATTTAAATTTTCTTTCATTTCTATTTTTAATTCATTGACTAGATGTTTCGTACCATCATATAACTCGATTTGTTTAAATTTTTTAATTTCAGAAAAGTTTTTACAATTTTCTTTATACTCAAATGAACATATTTTTGGCCTATTGTGTTCTATAATATTTTTTACATTTGGGTCATTGGCTGTTGATCTTTTTATCTCTAATCCTTTATAAAACGAACACTCTATTGCCCAGTCGGGACAGACACAAGCCGGGTTGCAATTTCCTTTTCCACACTCATTTCTTTTCCAACAAAAATTGCCGCCCGCACGCTTGTGTATAGAAAAACCGTTAACGATACATTCGTCGTCAATTTGTATTCTTTTTGTTTCCTCGTGTGATTTACACGGACTTGCAGCAAGGTTTAGACACAGAGAGAAAAAGATCAGTATTGTGAGTGTAATAGAGGCAGAAAGTGTATTAGGTTTAAGGATTGCTGCACCTTTATTTTTGTTTTTATTATTCCCAATCAATTTATTTTTAACAATTTTTTGTCCCTTTTTAGTAACGTCTTCGTCCAAAATATTTTTTGAATAAAAATCTGCTCTCATTCTTTTAAAGTCATTATTTAACCTTTCATTTTGTATTTTTAATGTTTGAATTTCTTCATTACGAGTTTTTTCAAGCTCGGTTATATTTTCATTCACATTATTTAAAATTAATTTTGTTTCTTTTAATTCATTTTGTAAATGTGAGATTTCTATTTTATTATTATTAATCAAATTTTCATTCGCCTTATTATCGATTTTAAGTTTAGAAATTTCATCTTTACTAGTTTTTATTTCCCTTTTCAAAATTTTATTTTCATCTTCTAAAGTTTTATATTTATAATCATAAGATTTATCTCTTGGTTGCCTATCCTGTCTTTTAAATTTTTTATCGAATGATTTTTCCCCGCGTTGCCAATCATGACTTGAACTAGTTTGATAATCACAATCATAATCCATATGCGGGCCCCCACAAAATTTACAAGGTCTCCACATTATTGGCTCATCCTCAAAATACATACAAATTTTTGCGCTTTCCATTGAATTATTTTCATTATTGATCAGAAAATTTATGTCTGCATTATCTATTTCATTATAATTTATTCTCTTTCTTTCTCTGAGGGCCATTGGATGGGTTCTTCCCTTTGGATGTGAGTCAATACTATTATTTATTTCCAATTCTTTGTTTTTCTCTTCATCTTCTATTGTCAATTCTAAGGGATATAAAAGAGCGATGGCGCGAGTAATGATTTTATTTTTACACAAAACTTTCGCGGAGCGATACAATCCATCTCTGCTCTTGATTAAATATTGTATTTTGCCTAAACTCCAAAAATGTTTTGGGAGATTTGAATTTTGAATAAGCACTAGTTCTCCAACTTTTGGTGAATAATTTTTTCTGTATTGTTTTTGCGCGTGCCTATTTGTTCTTTCTTTAATATCATTTAAATATTCCTTTTCAAATTTTTCCCAAAATGTATTTACTATTTTATTTGTTTCTTTCCAATTATTAATTATTGTTATTTTTTGGGAAACCTTTTCATCATAATTATCTGTCTCAAAATCTTCAAAATTAATCCCTTGTTTAATCCTTGTTGGGTGAACTAAATCTATTGGACGCAATACTTCAATTTCTTCCAAATCATTATACAAATAAGTAAGGGGACGAGAATTGATTACGTATTTTATTTCTGGCAATAGTGTTCTGAGCTCTTCTATATTTAACATTTTTCGGCCAACAGAATTTTTAAGAGCCTTTTTCATAATTTTTACTATTGATTCATACACGCCACCGAACCAGGGAGAAACAGCGGGTATGAATCGCCATTCAATTTTTTCACAATCCAAATTCTTTTCAATTTCATTTATTACTTTACTAGTCAATCTATATTGGGTTCCATTGTCGCTTAAAATCAATGCCGGTTTTCCGTATTCTGCTATAAATCGCCTTAAAGCTTGAACACATGTATTTGCGGAAAGATCGGTAATTAATTCTAAATGCGAAAATCTCGTTGTCAAACAAGTAAATATTTCTATCCATATTTTAATTATTTTATTTTCTTGTGTTTTTACATGAAACGGACCTGCATAATCTAACCCTGTATTTTTAAAAGGAGAACATCTTTTTATCCTTTCTTCAGGTAATATTGGCATTTTTGGTATTTCAAAAGGTTTTAATAATTGTTTTCGGCATTGAAGACATTTATTAATTGTACTCTTCATTTTTTGCCTTCCTTTTGTTATCCAAAAGCATTGTCTTAATTCACACAAACTTTGTCTTAATCCGCTATGCATTGCACGTTTATGGTATTCTAAACAAATTTTTTCGGAAATAGGAGAATCATATGAGACATAAACTGGTGTGGGAATTCCTGAAGATTCAACACGTCCTGGACAGACCCAGATTCCAAATGCATTCTTTCTCATATATAACTCAAAGATTTCTTTTTCTGTAGGTTTATTTTGGTTTTGAGCTTCTTTTAGAATTAATATTTCACCGAATTTTCGAAGACCTACATTTGTTTTAGTATTTTTTAGTTCAATGAAAAATTGAGTTTTTACATTAATATTTTTAATTAATTTCATTAAGAATTTGCAAATTATTGTTCCAATTGTAATTGTTTTATTCCACTCACTTCGCGCATTTAAATTCATTATTTTTTCTGTCGTGACATTCATTATAAATTCTATTTTTGTCTCTTTGGGGCTAGCTATTTTTTCAAATTCTATTGCTTTCGGCCATTCGTTTTTATTTTTTCGAAGGAATGTTGGACCTTGCCACCAACTTTTCTTTTCTGTCAATTCATTACAAGTTAAACCCCTAGTTGCGACATCAGCTATATTTAATTCAGTGGGGACATATTTCCAAACCAAATTTTTATTTTGATTTATTTCTTCTATTCTTCTTTTTATAAATCGTGGCTGTTTTTCTTTGTCGCTAATTAATACCCAATTTAGTACAACTTTACTATCAGACCAAATAAATATTTTTTCTAATTCAATGTCTGACTCCTTTTGTATGAAATCACTCAATCGTTTACCTGCAATTGCGGCCATCAATTCCATTTTTGGAATTGTAAGACGAGATTTTAACGGGGCCAATCTCCCCTTGGCCATAATAATTGAGGAAAAAATTTTATTTAAATCATATTCAACTCTTATATAAGCGACTGCGGCGAAGGCGTTTTGTGAAGCATCTACAAAAATGTGCAGTTCACTCGGACCCTTTTCTTTTAAAAGCTGTCTTCTAAATTTAAAAGTACCGTAATCGTCTTTTATTTTTTCAATTTCTTTTATATGTTCAATCGATATTTCGTCATCCCAAGTCTTTTCTTTATCTACCCATAGTTTCTGTAATAATAATTTTCTACATAAATTTGCTGGGAGAAGAACGCCCATGGGGTCAAAAAGTTTTGCGATTTCTTTTAGAATCGATCGTTTTGTCCATTTTTCTGGCGTCTTAATTTTTTTCATTTCAACAATCAATGCATCTTTTTTAACATCCCAACCAACTCCTAATATTTTTGTATTATTTTCTAACGCTTTATCTCCAAAATTTTTATTAATTATTTCGGAATTTGAAATAAATTCTTGTAGCGGCATTTGAGCTTCTTTAAAAATTTCTATTACTTTTTTACATTTATTCAACCCTTCTTCAGTTGTGATTGCAGAGAAAAAAATATTATCGGCGTATATTCCTCTTCTTAATTCTCTTCCAAATTCTCCGGCAGTCTTTTCCAAATGTAAATTTATTACTGCTGCAAGGCAAAAAGGTGCTGCAGAAATTCCAAATGGCATTTTAGTCCAACGCCAGTAAGCCAAATTTAGGTTAGTAGGAGGAAGATTCCAATTTTTAGGCAATAGAAAACGCATTAAGTCGCGTTGATTTTCTTTCAATCCTATTTGATGAAAAGCAGACTTGACATCCGCTGAGGTTAAAATTGGAAATGTTCTAATTCGTATTAGGAGTCCGCACAAATCCGGAAGCAAGACAGGACCTCTATATATTATATCATTTAAACTTATTTTTTCTTCCGCTGTTTTACAATTAGCCGCAAAAACGATTCGCATTTTTTTCTTTTGTGGGTGATAAACATAGTGCCAGGGAATGTAATGACATAAATTAGAGTCATTTCTTTCGCAATTCTCTATTTGATTATTTTTTGCTTGTTCTAAAAAACTTTCTTTCATTTTTTCCAATACGCCTTCTTTGTTTCCTTTTGCCCAAGAACTTTGTAATCGTTTAATGCAAGGCGCGAAATTACTTGATATATTTATTTTCTTTTCTTTAAATGGGAATTCTATTTCGTATCTTCCTTCGGGTGTTCGGGTTACCGATTTTTTAAATAATTCTAAAGCGTTTTTATCATCCTCATTTAATGGGTTATCGGTAATACCAAATGATTCTAGCTCCCAAAATTTTTCTACATTTTCCATTGAAAAGATTTTTGATTCATTTACGTTTAAACTAATTACGCCTCTACCCGAAAGAACTTTTCCTAGTTTAGTTTGTATTACCGAAAATCCATTTTGAAGTCTTTCATATCCCATTATTTTATTGTAAACACTTGTACCAATCAATATTTCTGGCGTAACTTCTTCCACAAATTCATAGGGAATTCTATTTTCATTTAATCTATCTAAGCCTATTTTTTCAACAAAAATAGTTTTTAATTTTTCAACAAAATTTTCATCGACTCCTCTTGCTCGGACCTTTATTGATTCGTTATTTATACACTTTATTTCAAAATCAAATATAGGCATTCTTCTAACCATACTTTGACCAAAGACACCAGTTGCTTTGAAATTATTTATTGCTATGGGCTCTAATTTTAATTTTTCGGCTAGAGAGGTTTTTATTAAACAAATTTCGGCACCGGAATCTAAAAATACGTGAGCATTTTGCATTAAAATTGGAATTTTTGGGTTTACTATCTTTGCTTGAGTTACTTGAAGAAAGGTTGGAAAAATTGAATTTTGCGAATTTTTTGTTAAATAATTTATTAAAATATCATTAGAATCTTTTAAATTATCATCATCTTGAATTTCTAGACAAATATTTGAATTTTTATTATTTTGATTATTTTTAATTCCAATTCTTTTTTCTTTAATTTCTTTAACTTCATTTTTTCTCTTCAACGGGTTCTCGGTGTGCGGCTTCGTCCTACAAAAAGCAGTGTTATGACTGCCCTTGCAGTGAAAACATAAATTTAATTTTAAACATTTTTCAGACCTATGATTGTTTTTTAAACATTTAAAACATAATTTGAGTTCTTTTGCTCTTTCTAGTCTTTTTTCAGGATTTATATATTTAGAGCAATTATTTTCCCAGTGGTTTTCTTCACAAAATCTACAAGTATGTAAAAATTTTTTCTCAGTTACAGCGAACATTCCTGTTCCTTTATTTCCAAAATTATTTCTAATATTATTATAATTCATTTGAAATTTTCTTCCCTTATTATTATTTTGAAAATTATTATTATATTTCAAATTTTGCCGAAAATTGGGAAGATTGTCTGTTTTTTCTTGTTCAAAATTTTTATGGGCTCTAAAAACGTCTTCTTCCAATTTTAACGAATTGTCTAAAAATTCGAGCATTTTTTTGACAGACCAATCAAGATTATTTCTTTTTTTCTTATAAATTTCAGTTAAGAGCCATTTTGGCAATTTTGATTCAATTTCCAAAATTAATTGTTCATTATTTGTATATTCCCCCAAATTATTTAATTGATTAATTATAGCTTCGACTTTTCTTAATGTTTGTCGAATTTCAGGCACGTACTTTGACGCCCTAGGAATTCTTCGTAAATTTGCGTGCAACGCACTTTTTATATTTGATTTATCCCCAAAATTTTTTTCCAAAAGTTCTAAAACAATTTTATAATTTTGTCCCTCAAGGGGATATTGTCTGGCCATTTCTTTAGGCTCTCCATTTAATGCTCCAAAAAGATATTGCAATTTTCGTTTATCCGAAATTGCTTGTTCATCAACAGCACATTTAAATTCCTCCATAAACGGCCGATACTCCTCTAATTTTCCCGAAAAAGATGGTAAACGAATTTCTGGGAGTCTAATAGTATTCGGCGTTTGGAGAATTGTTTCATTTAGAGTTGCGCGATTTCTTTCGCGTGGGCTTTCAACTCTATTAAGCGTGTCATAATTTTCATCCAAAATGTCTAAAACATCACGCGCTTCGTCTAAAATAGTCAAAAATCCATTTTGCCCAAGAGCAAATTCTCGATATTGCTCGTTTTCATTTTCTCTTGCCTCAGTATCCAGATATTTAATGAAATTGGCATAATCCAAATCTTTTTTATTTATTTCTTCCATTACTCCAACAATTTTCTTTTTAATGTTTTCAGTTTTATTAATTAATTCATCAATTTTTTTATTTTTAGATTCTTGATTTAATTTATTACTTACGCTGAAATCGATTTGACGAGCGGTGTCCAAATGTCGCCCTAAACGATCTCGCAGCATATTGATGCCCGCCTGCAGGACGGCCGCCATATCCTCTTCTAATAAATTGACGACGAGGCCTTACTTGTTGACGTTGCTGGACCTGTTGAACAGGTCGTTGGAATGTTGGACGAAAAGGTGTTGTCCCAAAAGTTGGATAAAAAGGGGGTGCCGAATAAATTGTCGGCAATGTAGGTGGATAGTAGGGTGGTCGTTGATTAAAATAAGGAAAAGGCGTGTATGGATTATGGAAAACAGGTGGTTGTTGATAGCCTCCTGATGCTTGATCTGAATTTGAATTTACTACCTTTACTATGACCGGGGCAGATTCTTTTTGGGGCTTTTGACGGTTTTGAGACGTTCCTTGATTTCTGTAGTTTTTAGTAAAAAAATTGCGCTGTTGAGCGCTTTGTTGTCGGAATTTATTCTCAATTTTTCTTTCCAAATTAGAATTGTTTGGTGGTGGTCTGGACGAACAAATTGAAACCTTGTCCAGTTTTTCTTGAATATTTTCCAGTTTTGCTAAAAAAATTTAGCCCAAAAGATTATTTTTTAACTAAAATTATTTTTATCCAAAAAAAATATTTTTATTGCCCTGATTTTTTTTTTTACGTCGTGGCACCAATTTGTTATATTCCAATAATATAACAATAATTTGAACCAAATAGATTTTACCAAATATCCAAAATTATTAAATATTTTATTCCAAGGTTTAAAAAATACAAAGTTTTAATATTAAAGGGGAATTTAAGGAAGGGTGAAGAAGTTAAAAATAAAGGATATAAATCAGCTTAAATAGGGCCAAAAATGATACATTTTTTAGAGGGAAAAGATAAAAATTGAGGAGATGATTGGACAAAAATATGTGAACATAAATATTTTAAAAATATAAAAACAAAGATGATTAATAGAAAAGTTTAAAAATAAATATTAAATATCTTTATAAAAGTTGCGTTTCGGCGCAACATTAATATTTTTTTAAGACTTTTCGCAATAAGGGGTCTTTTAATGTTTCAGTAGCGATTGTCTCCCTATTTAATGGTAATTCATCTCCATTTAAAATATAAGGGATTTCTTCTCTAAAGTATTTTTCTTTTATTTTATCCCAATTTATGGCTGTTTCTATTTCTGCGCGCGACAACGCGTCTGCTACTGAGTTATTTTTCCCTTCGATGTAATAAATTTTAGGGTTGATCTCTTGGATCTCCATTAGCCATCTATTCAATTTCGCATTGACTTGGGCTTTCTGGAAAAGAAATATAAGGGGCTTATGGTCGGTCATTATAAGAAGCTCTGATCCGTATATTATTGGCCTAAAAATGTTCAACGCATGAACAATGGCGGCCAGTTCGCCGTGCGTGGCAGGATATTTAGCCTCTGTTCTATTAAGGGTTTTGCTACAGTATGCTATAGCACTTATTTTCTCTCCTTTTTTCTGCATTAGTGCTCCGGCCCAGGCAATATTTGAAGCATCCGTATATAGAATAAAAGGGTATTTGTAATCCGGTGGAGATAGACACGGAGGTTTTAACAATTCTGATTTTAATTTTATAAAGGCTTGTTTTTGCTCCTCTTTCCATTCAAACTTTTCATTTCCTCTCAATAATTTCGAAATTGGAGCAGCCTTCTCAGCAAAGTTTCTTATAAATTTTCGGAAGAAACCAACGAGACCTAAAAATTGCATAATTTCTTTGCATGTTTTAGGTTCTGGAAAATTTTTTATTGCTTCAATGTTTGCTGTTGCTGGCTTATAACCATTTTCATTTAGTATGTGTCCCAGATAATTTATTGAGTTTTTACAGAACTCACATTTTTTCAAATTTAATTTTAAATTATATTTATTTAAACGCGAAAAAATAATTTCCAAGGTTTTTAAATGTTCGTCCAGCTCCTCATTAAAAATTATTATATCATCTATATATGCCATACAATTAGGGACATTTGTAAGTATTTCGTCCATGGTCCTTTGAAAAATGGCAGGACTATTTTTTAGACCGAATGGTAATTTCAACATTTCAAAAATGCCTTTTTCTGTTATAATTCCACATTTATAAGTGCTTCCTGGATCCAATGGTATTTGCCAAAAACCGGATCGGAGATCCAGTGTAGTATAATATTTATGGCCAGAAATTTTGTGCAAAATTGTCTCCATTTTTGGGAGAGGGTATGGATCCGTTACTGTGATTTTATTCAGAGCCCTAAAATCCACACATGGCCGTAATTTATTATCAGCTTTTCTTACTAGAACTACGGGTGACACCCAAGGAGTGTTAGATTTCTTTATTACTCCAATTTTAAGCATAGACTCCAAATGTTCATCTAACTCAGCCTGGTATTTTTCTGGTACTCTATAAGGTCGGCTGGTAATTGGGATTTCTGTATGTGTTAAGATTGGGGGAGCAGTAATTGTACATTCACCCAAATCATAATCATGCTTGGAAAAAACATTTGCATATTTGTTTATACTAGTTTTCAATTTTCCACTTTCCAAGGCATTCAGATTTGTATTTATTTCTAATTTATTAAATTCTAGTATATAACAATTTGTGTCATTTTGAATCCTTTTTAGGTTACCATTTTGTAAATTTAATAAAAGCGGGAGGTTTTTTAAAGTGCTTCTGCCTATTATTACGTCATATTTACCAGTGGTACTTATTTCATTTTCAATTATTACAAATGAGGTTTTTATTTCACAACCTGCTATTTTCAAAAAAACTTCTCCCTGACCAATAGTTGGAACAATTTTTTCTCCGATACCTACTATTGCATTTATTTCGGGAGGATGGATTCCTTTTATTTTTAATTTTTGAGCTGTCTTTCTTCCCATTAAGGAAACGTGTGCGCCAGTGTCAATTAGGCATGCAATTTCTCTTTCATTTATTAAGGTATTTATTCTGAAGTTTTCGTCACATTGAGTTTCATGAAATGATGCTACTTCTATTATTTCAATGTGTTGAATTTCTATACTGGGCCATCGTTCGTTTAATGGAGGGGTCCTTTCAGTTTTTTCTGCCAATTCAATTTCTCGAATCTCACGCCTTTTATTTTTATATTTTTGTAATAATTTTGTTGCGCGGATATAGGAATTACTAACATTAAATAAAAGATTTAAGTATTGAAGTATAGCTGGAGGAATTATTAATTGTACAGCTATAGAAATAGTTACATAGCAGCAAACAAAAAATACCCAAATTTGATTAAACGAAGGTAATCCTCCTTTCAAAAACGAGAAAAGACCACTAGATACAATATTTCCGGCTAATAACTCGGTTTTTCCTGTTGATTCCCTCCAAGTGCTACTGCTAGGGCGAGTTAATCGCATAATTTCTTGGCTTATTTCTGCAGCTTCTAGCGTTTCGTTAAAATGCTCAGGGGAATATAATTCGGATAAATTTGCGAGTATTTTATTTCTGAAGATTGTTACTCCAATATCCGGAAAATCCAAGTTCCCAAATCGTGCTAATGTAAAGATCGACTCTATTGGGATTTCATTTTCATCTCCATTAACTTGATTATATTGAATTATTTTTCCACCTATTTCAATGAATTGCGATTTAGCAGAATTACAATCAATCTCTTTGGCCTCTGGGTAAATAATCAAAGTATTTGTGTCCAAAAATCCATGTTTTTGGACCTCAAAGAGCTTAAAACTGATTGGTATTTTGTTAAAACAGTGACCAGTTTTCCAATTATAATGTATGTCTTTAAAGTTAATGGGGTAACAAGGTTTAATTTCTAAAGTCCTATCAGTTACCAGTCTAGCAGTTATTAATTTATTTTTCATAAAATGTCTTGCTAGTAATGTGGGGTTAGCAATTGCCAAACTTAAGGTTTGGTCCACTATAGACTGTAAACTCGTGCATATTTGGTGTGTGGCTTCTGCAAAAAGGCGTTGAGTATTAAACGTAATTTTAGCACTAAGCGCTGTTAATTGCGCGGCTAATTGTTGGGAGTAAACAATTCCTATTTCTCTTTTACTTCTTTTTATTTCGTTCTGCGCTCTTTCACTCTTCATAATCATTTCATTATATTCATTTACGGGTACAGCAAAACCTTGATCAGAAACAGTAAATTGTGTTCCCTCACAATCAGTTTTTATTGTGGCATTTTCAAAACTTAGAGCAAATTCACTGCTTTTTGTAATCCAAATTTTAGTTGAATATTCGCCTTCCCATCGAGTTACGAATATAAAAGAGCATTGTTGGGATTTCTCTGGTTCCCAAATAAGGCTTCCTTGTGTACACCGACAGGATCCAGCCTTATAAAGACAACCAGGGCAACTACCTAGAGGCGTTGATATACCGCTCATTCCATAGCGTGTAAAAATAACTGAGTCAAAAGCATAGCAGTTTGTGACTTCTTCTGTATACCAAATTATGCTAATAGGCCAAGGTCGCCATTCACTGTCCAGGGAATTATTCGTAGCCTTAAATGTGTTATTTCCAAACATTTCACCTGCTGGCGAGTGATAAAGTTTATGCATCCTATGACAGGTCGATGTTGGGATTTCTATGTTTTCCGTATCAATTTTTTCATATTTAGAACCAAAAAGTCCCATTCTACGATTTATAATTGTTTTAACACATCGACAGACAGTTGTGGCCGTTTTGTATTCTAAAGTGTTTGCACGATAAACCGATAATGGCATTTCTATAGGCGGTTCTGTGGTTCTCCAATGCGGGCAGATAGGTTCCTCCGGAAGTTTCCACAAGCTACTCGGGGATTCTGCAAGACAAATCATTGGGCTATGCGGTCCATGGCTGGCTATACTTGGGCAAACAAGAGCAAGTAGCGCTAATATTGCCAAAAAGTACGGGCTTAACATCCTTGGGCTAGATGTAATAGGACTTGCTACCCTGTTTTCACTAAATCTCACTCTTCTTTTTGGAGAGTGGCTTTGTCTATTTCTGAAATTTCCTCTTTCATTGTATTTGTTTTGATTATTTTGGGAATTTCGATTATTCCAGTTTCCATTTCTGTTATTATTTTGGTTCCTATAGTTATTTTGATAATTTCCGTTTTTGTAAAAATTTTGGTTATAATCTCCGCGATTGTTATAGTTTTGGTTATTTCTGCGGGTATGATTTGAATTATAATTATTAAATTGCGGTTGATTTGGTTGTTGGTAACTCCGATTTCTACAATTAGCCATTATGTGACCAGGCTTTCGGCAATGATAGCAAATTTTCCTTAGTTTATCATTTTCATTTTGTATCACTAGAGCTTCAACCTTCTCCGCTAAATCAACAAATTGATTATTTTGTAAGTGTGGACGTCTTTCTGTTAGTAATAGTTCAAAATGCTCTGCTGTTTCAAATGCTCTGGTATAATCTTCAGGTCTTGAAGCCTTGACTTCAAATTGTAATTCAGGGACAAGGCGATCCAAAAATTCATCCAATAAACGCTGTTGGATCATATTTTCCTCATATCCTATCATTACTGCACGTACCGCATCATTTAAGCGTTGTGCAAAAGCGAAAACTCTTTCGCCTGGCGCTTGTTTAACTATAGAAAGTGCTTGTCGAGCTACCGTACGCGAATGTCCATTTACAAATCTCTCTTGTAAAAAATTTAACGCGTCTTGTAGTGTCTCCGGTTGTGGGTTTTGTGAGTCTAATTCAGCTCGTGCGCGTCCTCCTAAACATACTTTCAGGCGGTTTAGTTTTTGAGCTTCCGATAGAGGGGTTAATAAAAGATTTATTGCGTCGTTGAAACGCTGCGACCAGCGTGCAAAAGAATTACAGGGGTTTCCGTCATATATTCCTATAGGTGAGCTTAATCCATTTAAGAATGGGTCTCCCATCATTATTTCACAATTTTCGTCTCCCTCAATATTTTCATTTTCTTGGGGGTTTCTTTCTTTATTCCCATCGATATTGGATTTATTTTCATTAGATTTCTCACCCCCATGGCCATTCCATATAAATCCAGATCCTTCAGACTCATTTTCCAAAACTTCAACTTTAAATTCTAGACTTTCCAATTTGTCTGATAATTCTCGAAATTTAGCTCCTAAATCAAAATTATCTTGTTCAGCGAGTTCTAGTCCTTCCTCAATGATATTTAGACGCTGACAATGTAAAATTTGTTCTTTTTCCAGTTCAGTGCATTTGCCTTGGAAAAGAGCATGTACATAACAATTTTCTCCTTTATCTATTAATTTTTCTTCAATTTCGTCTATTTTTAATTTATTTAGGTCAATTTCAACTCCTAAATCAAGTGTCGCATCCTTAATAAAATTTTCTACAATTTTAATTTTATCATTTAACGTCTCGAATTTTCCTTCAAGAACAAAGTTTATTTGAGGAAAATCGGGTTTTTCCGTTTGTATATTCGTAATTGTTCCTTCAATACGGCGTATTGTTTTGCAAACTACCTCTTCAAAAGAACGGAGGCGGATAAGTAAACTATTCCAATTTTTTCCTTCCTCTGCGGTAAAGAATTTTGGAGCAAAATCTGAACCAGTTTGTTCGGTTTTACTCATTTTTATTAAGTCAATTTTCGAGCAAGGATAACACCTAGTAATATCCTTTGAGTCCAATGGCACCTAGCCACGAATAAACACCTAGTAATTATTCGCTTTAAAAATATAAAATTTCAATAAGTGGAGCTTTTCTAGCTCAACACTTCAAAAAAGATCCTCTTTAAACTTCGAAGTTTTAAATTCTCTCAGAAAAAGTACCCGGAGTGGCACCAAAATGAACTATGTTTATTTAGTTCACTATTACCGGTTCTCTTTTACTGAGGATTTCAAATAATTCTAATAGTCCAAATATATTTTATTCAATTAAGTTTATAAAATTGGTATTGGTTAGGTATAGGTAAAGTTAAAGTCAAAAGTGTTAATTGAGGTGCATTTGGTTTTCTTTAAATAGGGTTGTGCATGTGAATAAAAGAGGTACAATAGTCGGGATTTATTTACTATATTAAAGAGTATACAAATATATGTTGGTTGGGAAATTACTTTAAGATAAGAGTTTATGTCGGGAAACCAATCGAGAATGGCATAGACAAATATATATTGGGAGAATATTTAAATTAAAGATAAGAGTGTTTGTCGGGAGTGTGTTTATCAAGAATACTCCAGAGACAAATTAGATAACGAATCTAAGAAGAACTTAGAAAAAATTAGAATAAGAAAATTGGTTTTTAAGTTCTTGAAGAATTAAATCATGTTCACCAATCAGTTCTATTGTGTATATAATCCATTGTTTAATATCCCTACATTATAATCCCATTAAAGTTTGTTATCCCGCTGATATATTAAAAATATATTTGAGAAAGCTATCACAAAAATCCTTAATGATTATTTTTTTCTTTTCTTCATGAATTTTTGGATTCCATTTTTCGACGATTAAGAACTCGATATTGCCCAAAGGTTAGATCAGTTGGATATGAACACCAAACAGTAAATCGTCTCTGATCATTTATAAAATAAAATATAAATTTGTACTTTAATATGTAGTAATTAATTTTAATTATTTTTCCTTTCCTTTCACGTTCCAAAAGGCATACCTACCATACATAAGAAAAAATGGGCGCCACTCCTTGCAGAAAAAAATGCAAGAAAAGGAAGGAAAAATGCGCATTCTCTTTGCGGACATGTAGGACACCAACCGGACATTTACCTATTGGGGCTTCTGCAGAGACTCCCACACTTTATATTTTTAGTTCATTATATCGAGAAGCTATCAACAAACAATTAAAATTAATTTTTTGCAAAAAGAAGCAACAGAAAAATGTAATTTCAGTCGTTCCCGGACTATTTAATAATAGTGGAGGGCTTGTAAGGGATGAAGTAATTAATGGAAAAACAAAACAATTAACAAGCATAAACAAAGCAATTGTTTTAAATAAAAATAGTTCAAGCATATTTTTAAATAAATAATTGGAAATTTTTGAAATATTTGTAAATTTAAATGTTGTACATATGTATTTTGAATTTAAATTAATTAAAAAAACATTTCATTATATTCCACAAATTTATTTATGTAATTAACAGTTTATCAATTAAAAACATTTAATTTATATAAATAAGACCAAAAACTACAAATCTCTACAACTTTTAAGTTGAAAATTTTTTAAAATTAATTTTTAGTTATTCAAAATATATTTTATAATCATTTTGGTCTAAAAATTAAATTTTATTATAAATAACTTTTTGCGATATTATCCTATCTAAATGTCATGCCACTATTAAATTGGATGAAATTGAAATAAAATTAAATATGTTTGTTTATTTCCAATCATTTTAATTTTATCAAATTTTAAAAATAAAATTTTTGAACAAAATAGAAAGTTCAATATTTTATTTTATTAAAGATATCATTTGACCACATACATAAAACTATAGTTGTATGTATGTGGTCAAATTTAATATTTTTAAGATAAAATATTCAATTAAAAATATTCCTTTCTAGGAATTTGGAAATTAAAAATAGATTATTGAGAATTGAAAAAAGTAAGGATCTTTTGCTTAATCAACTGTAAAAAATTTGTTTCAAATAAAATATTAAGCAATTTCCTCACACCTTTTTGCTAATTTTTGTATTTTAAATACAAAAAATTTTATTTTTTATTTTATTTCAAAGGTTTAATTATTATGTACTCATTTAAAGTTGTAAATATATACAAATTGTAAATTAAATTGGAAGCGGAATGAAAAGGAAAAATAAAATTAACAAAAACTTTTTTAATTCTTAAAAAATAATTATTATTAGTATATTATTTTATTTCTTCGGATAAACATTATTATTAACAATTCCTCCTCCACCTCCTCCACCATTTATTAATTGTTTTGTTTTTACTACACTACAGTTAACAAAACCAGGAACTGCCGAAATTTTATTTTTTTGGAATTTTTTGCATAAAAAACGTTTTAATTGTTTGTTGATTGCTTCTCGATAAATACTACTAAAAATTAATTTTTAAAAATAAATATGTATGTTAATTAATTTACCTAAAAATATAAAGTATTGGAGTTTCAGCAGAAGCTCCAATATTTAAAAGAGTTCCACCAAACATTCCAATAGACCAATTCTAAATAATTATTTTTTTTAAATTTTATTTCAATTCCTATTTTATTACTTGAATGTCATTAAGTTTAAAAAACTGATTAACAATTAATCTGTATATACTATTAATTATATATCCACCAATAACTATCGAAACAATTAAAATTAGAGATTTAAGAAGGCGTGATTGAGTGTCTGATGGAATACCTCCACTGTTAGTTGCTTTAAAAAATAATTAATTTTTGATAGTTCTAAATAATTGTTTTTACATTTATGAGAGCAACGGATAACTATCCAAATAATTAAATAAATTACGGCATTTAATGCGCACAGAATCATGATAAATTTAAATATTATTTGCATGTCAAGAACAAATAAATCTCCAATCCTGCCGGTAACGGGAAGTGTTGGATATTTATTTGATAAATTAATAGCATTTATTGACATCCAAATTCCACTAGAAAAAGCCAAAATTGTGTGGATTGAGAGGTAAAGACGAATATTTATTTTATTGTATTTTAATGGGATCAGAACAGATAAAAGTCTGTCGGCAGCTGTTGAAGCCATGGATGTTTGTGCTGCTGTTACCCCAAAAATTGAATGTAATTGGAATTGTAAAGCTGTAGAATAATTAATGAAATTAATTCCGCTTATTGATATCACTAGAAAAACAAGATGGCTTGATTGATGGAGAATTTCAAAGAAAGCAGTTAAAGCCAATAAATAATTAGCTGCCCCTCTCAATTTACTTAAAAATTTAATTTTTTAATTAAAAATATTTTTAATATTTTTATTAACTTGTTTTGAATTGTTACAAAAATTAAAAGCATGTTTGATGCAATTCCAGGTATCCCAATAAAATTTAAAACCAATGCAGGGATAATTAAAGCACTAGTTAAACCTACATTTTTATATTCTACAAAAAGCTGAAAATAATAAAAAATTAAAATTATTCGAATAGTATAAATAAATTATCAGATTTTTTAAATTTAAATCCTTAAGACTTATTACTAGAAAATTATTTGGGAGCTGTTTAGAAATTTAGATTTCCGAAGCTTTTTTCTTTCAAACCAACTCTGATCGCGTGAGCTCACGAAAGCAAATTTATTACCTGCTCACAACCACTATTTTAATTAGAGTTAATCGAAATAATTTTCAATTTTTTATCAAATATATGTAAATAATTCGAATAAAGATTTGATTTAGGCATTTTGTCATTCACTATTAAGCTAGGAAAAAACTTAGCCGGCCTTAAAATATTTTTTACCTATTTTTCGAATTTTCAACTACTTATTTTTAAACAAAAATTAAAAACTACTCACCATATAATTTGGATAATTATTATCGGTTTTTGTTTGATTGACTATTAAAGATTGCATAATCAAATTTAACAAGAAATTTAAAAATAATTTAAACTTAAAAATAAAATATTTTTTAATACGTACATATTTATTAATCACAATTTTCGTAAACTATTTACTACAAACTAAACTATAAATTTAAAAAAAGAATTATTTAAATAATTCTTTTTTAAATGTCAAATTATTTTTAAAAAATAAATAAAATTATGAGAAAAGACAAAAATAAATATTAAATTAACAATAAATAAATTTATTTAAATTTAAAAAATTTTTGAAACATTAAAGTTTTTTAGAATATCTAAATAAAGAATAAAAATATATGTACACACTATGTGAATTTTTAATTGAATAGAAATTAATTTTGGCTAATTCTAAAAATAAATTATTAATATTATAAAGTAAAATAAACTAAAGAAAACATTTCCAATTAAAAAAGACAAATAAATAACATTTTCATTCTAATAGAATAGCAATCATTTTATTTTTCATGACTCCTCAAAAACTTCATTCTATCAAAAGTGCCATTTGGAGGTTTATTCTATTAGAATAAACACGATAGTTCTCAGTCCTAAACAGAACTGTATCGAAACTAAAAGGTTATCGAAATTTAAAATGAAAATGGAAAAAATACGAAATTATCGAAATTGAAAATCTTCAGAATAATTCGAAAATTGTTGATCAAATAATAACAGAAAATTTAAAATTCGACAAATATTTCTAAATAGATTTACAAATTTGTATTTGACCAAATTTGTATTTGATCTTCAAAAGAAATTAAAAATTCTTCTTAATTGCTACATACATATTATTGTTTATATTCCCAAATTTTAATAGTTAAAAATAGGGATAATTCTTTATTTCCTATAATACGGCTACACGGGGCTGTATTTTCAATAATCTTTCAGAATTGGTTGAATTAGAGAGGGGGCTCTAATTAAGGGCTTTATTAAGGGAAATATTTGTTTTATCCGCTTTCTTTTAAAGCGGATAAAAAATTTTCTTTTATCCGCTTTTCTCCCAAAATTCTCTAAATATTATAAATTCTATCACATAAAAATATCGTTAAATATTTTACCTTGATGAAAAAGCCAAAGCTTTTAACACCCACA